GCTCCTCCACAACCTGCGTCAAAAAGTTATCGTCGACGCTCTGCAGGAACCTCCAGGACTGCTTGTGCCTGGCTGTGTTGTCCTTCCAGTTGATGTCAGGGTACTTGAAGTTCCCCCATGAGAACCAGGGCCTGTGACCGTGAGGCAACATCCAGCTGCCTATAGAAGACCTCATCAACCTCCTCGTCTTGGTCAGGGGGCCTGTAGCAGACACCCACCACAGTGTCTCCCACATTAGCCTGCCCTCTAATCCTTACCCACAAGCTCTCAACTCGCTCATCCTCCACTCCCAGGTTGAGCTCCATGCATTCCAGTTGCTGTATCACATAAAGAGCAACTCCACCACCTCACCTTCCCAGCCTGTCCTTCCTAAAGAGCACATAGCCTTCCATGGCAGCGCTCCAGTCATGCGAGCTGTCATGGGCTAAGGCTCAATCTGCAAATTTTAAACTTACAAAATTTAGAGGGGTTCTTTCTCCCTTGGAAAGAGAGACAGTAGGGGATTTTTTCCTCTGAGTGTGAGTCTGCTTAAACACTTAAAACCTGAAGGATATGAATAGCATCTAATGTTCCTGCTGCTTCACTCCAGGAGCTTCCTGGGTTTGTGTCCCTCATCCCTTTCACTTCCCATCTCCTTTTGTCTTCCTTCCCAGAGGGCTCCCTTAGGGAGCAGGTCACTGCAGGCCCACAGCCCTGGGAGAACATGCAGCAGTACATGCAGACATGGGGCTGGCCTGACCCCCCATGGGGGGGCCCAGCAGCAGCAGCAAGCCACAACCCAGGCTTCTTACAAGGGAAGAGTTCATGCCAGCAAAGCTCAAAATCCTTAGCAAGCTGAGATTTTGCTGCTGTTTAAACACACAGCTGTTGCCTTTATTCATTCTTTCCCTTCTACGCATTCCCTCCTGTCTGCTCTACATCTTTTTCTCCAGTCACTTTTACACTTCTTCATTTGTGCTACGGTGTTTTTAAAGATCCTGCTGGCTGAACACTTCAGGCAGGAGTAGTGTGGGAAAACATGCATCATCAACCTGAAGAACAAAAATCTGCAGACCTAGCCTGGCTTGGGATTTTACAGGTAGAGGTGAATTCACCAAGGTTACAAGCCACTTTAAGTTCTTTTCCATAGTAGCTGGTAGCTACCTGCGTGTTAGACAACTGTGCCCTTGTGTCACTTGTTGAGATTGGTGTTCTACTCTTGTGGAGTTTTGGACTTGCTAAGACAGTATGATACTGCTGTATCCTTTCAGGTTGCAGAAAGGATGCAGGGGAGCACCAGGACATTTTCCAGCACATCCTTCAAAGGCAAAGCATTTGATTTTTCTTTGGATTCTTAGGGTTATAGGGGTTCAAAGCTCAGAAAAAAAAAAATGGAACATCAGACATACTCAAGAGTGACTGAGGTGGCTGTGGTCAGAGAGTCTCATGCCCAGGTATCACCTTAAGATCAGGGTTAAACAGCACTTAAGTTTCAAAGATTGTCTGCTCTCCAAATATTTCATGTTGTAGGAAACCTGGACACATTTTACAAGTAAAGATGGTAGAAAAGAGTTCACATGGCCAAGTCGTGATTTCTTTCTTAAGAATTTTACACCTAAGTCTTATGCAGCACTACTTGCCAATGGGAATCTATCTTTCATGGTCCAAAACTATTCACACTGCAATAGGGAAATCAATACTCAATTTGGGAAGCCAAGGAAGAGCTTGGATTTACGACAGCTCACTGGAGTAAATAAAATACCTTTCTGGCAAACAAATGCCCTTTCAGAATTTGGCATCAGCATCTCTCAATGTCTTATTATTCAATCATACGTTTGAATGACAAAAATTACAAGAGTGCAAAACAACAAAGGAAGACTTTTTCCCGTTTCTCAAAGCGCTTATTCTTCTGAATAAAAATACAATGCAATAATTATGTGGATGTTTGGCAGAAACGGCAGCCAGTGTTTATGCAGGAAACAAATACAATAGCAGTAAGTATAAAGTCAGAGCTAAATGTTGTAAAAACACAAGAACTGTGAGAACACAGAGTTGTGAGAAAAATCTGTCATGGCCTTGCCCTGTTTAAGGAGTATTTTGCTTGCATGCACTGATCTGCACTACTAAAATTTCTTTTTAGTATTAGAACAAAATGTTCGAGGCTCCAGCCCCCACTCCTGCAGCAACAGCTGTTTTGCTTTCTGATTTGACAGCTTGTCTTTGTCTTACAGTTGCGGTATTTCCCTCCCCCTATTCCCTTTTAATCATGATAGATCTTTTAAATGCAGTCAACTTTTTAAACTCATGCGGCCTCTTCTGGCTCCCTGTGTGCAGTACCTTTGTGCCCATCTCCTGTCTCACTGCATGAGCCCACGCCGATCCTGGCAGTGGGCTCTTCCACACGCTGTCAAATCTCGACTCAGTACAAGGAAGCAGCAGGCACAGACAGTAGAGATGCTCCATTTGTTCCCTGATGTATTGTGCTAAGTCAGGCCTAGGAACAAGCATCAGAGCTTCATTAGCAGTAATGCGCTAGTGAAAACAGATGGCAAACGGATGTCCTGTTATTTTTTTCTAATGACCATAAAAACAATTCTTTACCAGGGTAAAGTGACCCGCATTTGATCCAAATGCTGCTTATTTAAGAATTCTAAAAGAACTAGAGCAGACTAGTTCTAGAAAGCTAAAAACAAACCAAAAAAAGGATCAGAAAAGCATTTAAAAATTGGCTCCCTGCGTTTTCCTAGACAATCACATTAATGGAGTTTTCAGGCAACAGAAGAAATTCTACATCTTATCCCATAGATTGGCAAGCCAGGATTATATCTCAAATTGCTGAGTTTTCTTGCCTTAACTGAACAGAATGCAGTGGGGACAAGTAGCATTCCTAGTAGTACTAGGAAGTGACAAATCAGATGCTTGCAGTATGATCATCTCTAAACAATTTTATGCTTTAGAAAGAGAGAGATGAAATACTAGAGCGGAGCAGCTGAGTAAGTCTATACCCACATTTCTCTTTCTCCCCTCCACCCAAGGATTGGGTCCAAATCTCAATGAAAGTCTAAGGAACGATACGGAGAGGCTACTTGTTTAACTAAAACAGTAAGTCTTAAGCTTCCTGAATTTCACTGCATAATTTCTCCCTCAGCAGGTAACAATCAACCACCTTATAACTAGATTATTACTTTCTAAAATGCTGCGCCAGTCCAGTTAGATTTTAAAACATGATTTTTCTCATAACAGGAGTTTCAGTTCAACTTTATGCTTTAAAAAAAAAAAAAAAAAAAACAGTTTTACATTTTGCAATTGGGGACCTGTCATTAGATTGAGAATCTTTCTTAATAAGACACTGAATCAGGAATTCTAGATAAGCATTATGTCCTATAGCCACTTATTACATAAGACATCAAAAGCCAGATTCGTCCCTGATGTAATTCCATCAGCTCTAGTGATTTCTACCACAGCTGTTTGGCTTTGAGACTAAGTTTGCAAAGAAAAGATACAATCTATAGTCTTAAGCAGACAGCAAGTTATACGCATCATATTAAACAGAAAAATCTCAGCATCGAAGTACAGTAAAGTGTATTATACTGCTTATGTAAATAGGGGATTTTTTTTTTAGCATATTACTGATCCAAAACTCTACATAAACAACAAAAATGTTATGGCTTGTGCAGATCAAGTACTTTATTCATCATCCTTCGTACTCCACTGTTCTTACCCCTCTGATCACAGATGATTTCAGCCAATTTTAAATTATAATTGAGCAGCACAAGTCCCTGCTCAGCCGGTGCCTATGAGCAGCTATTCCCTGAGCTTCTTGGGAGCAGAAAGGATCCCAATGTGTTAAATGCTCACACCAGGAGCTGTAGTAAGAGGAGTGAGCCAGTGGCTTCCTGGGTGTCTCCACAGTTGCCAGCCCAGGGGGATGCAGTGGACATACTGTGTGGGTGACACCAGGTGGGAGCAGCACTAGAGGCTCAGGGGCTTCTCCCTGCATCCCCAGCATCTCTTGCCAACGCAGGCAGCCGCACTAAGTGCCTTCTGGCCGCCCAAGCATCACGTGTGACTGCCTGTAATCCTGGAGCGGGGGTGTCATTAACGGGGCTGGGGGTGGCGAGAGGAGGGGCCCGTATTAGCGCGGGCCGGAGCCGGGCGCTGCCGCATCGCTGGGCGGCTCTGCTCCGCGGTGGGGCTGCGGCGCTGGCTGCGGGTGTCATGGCCTGGCCCTGCATCAGCCGTGTGTGCTGCCTAGCCCGCTTCTGGAACCAGCTGGACAAGTCAGACCTCTCCGTGCCGCTCACCATCCACAACTACTCAGATATCGAGGAGCAGGAGGATGGCAGCCCCGCGTGCGGCGCAACAGGCGGGAGCCATGCACGCGGGGGCAGCCAGCTGCCCGCCGCCACCTCACACATGCCCGACACCCTGGCTGTCAAGAGGTCGGGCAAGGGGGGTGCCCACAAGAAGGGCCCGGCCAGCACCGCCACCGAGCCCTTTGCGGCTGAGACCCAATACCGGCAAGACTTCCGAGCATGGCCGCTTCAGAAGCGGGACGCGTTCCCCTGGATCGGCACCAGCAGCGAGTGCAGGAGGAACGGGGCCCCCAGCACCTTGCAGCCTGCCCCAGGCACCTCTGTCTACGTCCTGCCTGCCAGCAACAGAGACGAGAGGCTCGAGGCGAGCAGGTACAGCAGCTTCAAGCAGCTGTGGCCCCGCTCGCAAGGGGACAGCGGTCACACCACCTCGTACAGGTAACCCGCGCCTCCCGCTGCCGGGGCTCTCCTGCCCTCTGGCCTCCCCGGCAGCAAGAGCGTGGAGCCCGGGATGCAGCTCCAGCCTAGGCTAGGGGTGCTCAGCTGCGGGGAAAGCGCAAGCAGCCGCAAAGAGGCAACACGGCGTAAACAAGGGGAGGGGGAATAGGAATGCTCTGGGCACTGTGCTGAGCCTAGCCATGTTTGCTTTCATGAATTGATATTTAAAAATAGATCACTTCCTACCCTCTACCTGGTCTCCAGCTCCCTGCCCAGCAGGGTCACAGCTGTCTCTCTGCAGCACAGCACAGCTGGGGCAAACATAACTGCCAAAGCCACAGCTCCAGCCTCCGTGCATTTTCTAGCTTTTGGTGCATTTAAAGGAAAGGATAGAGAGGAAGCCCAGTGGGATCGCTGCTGCTGTCTGTAGCACAGCTCTGCTCCATGTACCCATGTTGGGAGGACACAACATTTTCTACAGCCAGCTGCACTCACCAGAAGCTGCACTGAACTATGCTCCCCACATTTGTCAGTACCTGGAATACCACACAAGGTGAGCCAAATTACAGCTCAAAGCTCAGACATACACCAGGGACATGCTCCAAAGATGCACTCTAAACCAGTAGTGACAATAACATACAACGGAAAATTTAACCATCACAAACCACTTTTTCTTAAGGGCTTTTAAAAATGATTAAGTGATTTTTAGTTATTGATGCTTTCCTTTCCCTTTGATCAGTATGACTGATTACAGACACTCTTTTCTGGAATAAGCAATAAGGCTGGATGCATCCAAATTCAGCCTCAATTCTCATCAAGTAGCATTCATATTCACCCTGAAGCTGCTATATGGTCAATACAAAATATCACCTCAGTTTCACACTGCTGCATGTTCCCTAATAATAATGTTTGACTGATGGTGATATGCCTATTAAGTATATTGACAGAGTAACTAGTCTTATTCTAATTGAACTCCAAATATTAATACCCTAGTGATCTATTAGGTAGCCAAGACAATTTCCTTGGTAATTGCAATTCATTACATAGTTAATCAAAGAGCTTTCTAAGAGAAAAACACTGGGGTCCTGGAAAGGGTTATAAACCTGCATGCAAATGCATACTGCCTATCTTCCTCCTCACACAGGCAGCATCTCTGGTACAAATGCAGCTACATACTGTCTATGGAAATGCATGGCTGTGGTAGGGAATCTGTAAGCTGTTTTATTCTTTGACACACCTAACAGAACAATCAGCTACCAAGTGATGATTTCTGCTTTTCTGAAGAAAAGCACTTATTAGTATTGTAGCACAGGAAGTTCTTCAAAAGAGAAACCTGTCTCAAACAGCTTTAGCAAGATTCATTCGCTGGGAACATATCCCTCTTCAAACTGTTGTTTAAACATCCCTCTAGTTCTTCAGTCTGACCCCAAGTCAAGGGTACATTAAGCATTCATTTAAGTCACAGCTTCTGTCAGAGAAGAGCCACTTTTTGCACCTTCCTTCCCTCCAACTAGTCTATTCTTGCACAGGGCTCACAACTACTCCAATAGGAGCACGACAATTTCACACACGAATCACATGGCGAGAGTGAGATACCAGCCAACAAATCATAACAGAAACTTTGGGAAAAGTAAGAAGCTGAGTTGTCCAAGAATTCATCACAGCTAACACAAGGACTGCTGTGCACTGAAGGCAGAGCCATGGCCAGCTACAGCAACACAGACTGCTCAACTAGCAACTCTAAGCTGTTGTACATCCTAGATAACGCACTGAACATGTTGCAGACTAAGCAGGTCAAAAGAAACACAACAGGCAGCAGAAATAATGATGTCCACAATAGCTTCCAAGGGCAGTAAGAGTCTGCTTTGGTATATAATGTTTGCTTTTTCTTTTTTTTAAGCCAGACTAACCAGAATTTAAGTGACTAGTACTTAGCACACTCATTTGCAGCTACATTTGGAGTGCTGAGCTTTTATGTGGAAAACTATGCTTAAACAACAGAAAATGCTGAAAAAGCTCCTCACTGTAAGCAGGGAAATGAGAAGCCACAACACAGCCACTTTTTACAAGTCACACACCAACAAACACAAGGACATTTCCACTAATGATACCACACTGCAGTTCTCCCTCCATGCCTCATACCTGTACTTTAAGGGCAGCATCACAATCTGCAAACATCAGCCTCACCTTCAGGAAAGTGCTGAGCAGCAGCACTAGGTATTCCTCATCATCTTCTCCCATGAAGGCCTGAAAGCTCCTCCTTGCTCTTTCCCAGGGTCTTTAGCAGCCATACATAACCACCACTTTCACTGACCTCCTGCAACACCTGCCTGCTCTGCTTCTTGTAGGCACTCAACAGGGAAAAGCTGGCCCACCTGGCTCTGGTGTGGGTGAAGCAGCTGCTGAGGAAGCAGAAAAGGCAAATCAGCTGTAGTGCAGGTAAAGCAGAGGCAGGTGTGGGCCTAGTCTATTGGGGTCTGGCCTGAGAGGGGGCAGCTGGAGTGTGCTTGAGGAGGAGGTTGAGTGAAGCAGGTTATGTACTAAAGCACTCAGGGAAAGGGAGGATGGGTCTGTGCTGGAGTGGAGAGTAGTGCTGGTTCACTAGAGGAGGTTATGCACAGAAAACACCCCTGGTGTTTGCTCTGGCCCTCACATTTCCTTTCTAGATGGCACCTACGTGCAGGTCCCACCTCTTTGGGTGTTACAAGAGTTAGAGATTCTGCATTGCATTAAGAACAGGCAGGACAGGGCTCTGTGGCAGGGTAGTATGTGCCTCTGCAGCAGCTGTTTGACTTGTGTGCACTGTAGCTGCTGTAGCAGGCTCTGCACCAAGGCAGGTCATGCAGGCAGCACGAGGCTCCTGCTAGTGCAGTCAGCAGCTGCAGTGAACATAGGGCCAGGCAACTGCCTGCAATAGGATTTTATGACTCTGTCAGGTCTCAGTAGCCATCTGGGCTTGTTTAATATTAAAGAGATAAGATATAAATGGATTGAAAAGTTGGCTTTGTTACATGGTCTATTCTAAGCTTTTAGTGGTACTGCTGATTTTGGCTTAATTCTGTAAGTATTTTTTAAGAAAAGATTCAGGGATTTTGGTTGCTTGTTTCAACAACACTCCATCACACATTTGTTCTTGTGCAGCAGGAAGTCCCCTGTAATACTGAGCCTAGTGTGGTATATATTTTGCATATCAGGGTAATGCTTCTGTGAGACTTCATTCTGCAAGTTCCTCCTCCATCTTTCCCTCTACATCTCTAAGATTTTTTAAGCACAGAAGGAAACTCAGCTGCACACAAAGCAGGCTGTATCCTTCCCACACATGGTGCAGCTAGCTTGATCTGGTCTTTTATAGAACCGAGCAAACGCGATCACCAACCAAGAACAAAAAGAACAACCTTGTCCATAATCACAAGTTTGCGGACGATACCAACTTGGATGGAGTGGCCGACACTCCCGAGGGCTGCGTTGCCATTCAGAGGGACCTGGACAGGTTGGAGAGTTGGGCGGAGAGGAACCTCCTGAGGTTCAACAAGGACAAGGGCAGGGCCCTGCACCTGGGCAGGAATAACCCCTGGCACCACACAGGTTAGGGGTTGACCTGCTGGAAAGCAGCTCCATGGAGAGGGATTTGGGAGTCCTGGTTGACACCAAGTTCCCCATGAAGCAACAATGTGCCCTCATGGCCAAGAAGGCCAATGGGCTCCAATGGGAATTTTTCAGTTGAAATTCTGCTAGACCCCAAATGAAGTCAAAGACCGAGTGGTCTACAGAGAAAAGCTCAGCCACCCAAACCAAGCCAGATCAATATAAACTGCACATAAAAGGCAAAAATGGGATTTGCCCCCATTGTGAAATGACTCCAGGGGCTGCTGTAGAGTGTTGCAGGACACTACACCTCCTTGATGCTGAAAGACACAGAACAGGGCCTCAGAGCTCCTCCATCTGCCCTCCCTGAAGTTTTTACCCTTCAGCGTCACGGAAGCACCTTTTTGCTTTCAGCAGCAAGTCACAAGTGCTATGTACTCCTGACGCAACAGAGATTTGATGCAAGAAGATGGTTTGAATGCATTTAGCAGGTGTTTCGGAGGCAAAGAAGTGGCTTACTGGCCGCTTACCTCCCTTCTGTGCTGCATGAGGGAAGCTGATACTCTCAACAGCCATGTGCTAACTAGCGCCTGTTTGATGGGTGCCACAGTCTTCCTGTGTTGTTAGAAGGCAACTGGGATGTGGCCACTGCCCCTCTGTCAGGGGAAAGAGGCTAGCAGAGAGCTCTCTCCTTTCTTCTTCTCACTCCTTTAGGTTTCAATTTCTCCTTCTTTAAAAGCCCTTGGAACACACTTCAAAGGTGCAAGTGAAAAATGCTAGGTCAGAGATTAAAACATTTGTTTTACCTCTTCTTCTTCTGCCCCTTGTCTCTTTGGCAAAATCTGCCCTTGAGAAAGGGGGAGGATGGCTAACAATTTCTTGACACATACATAGTGCCAAGTTGGGCCTAATCTCTGCAGTTGATGCTTCTGCTATGTGAGGAGGCATTCAAGTGTACCTGGCTTGTGCTAACAGCTCTGTGGCTGTGGAGGCAGACCAAATTAGGGATGTCGATAAGCAGTGTTTCTTGCCCAGAGTATAGCCACACAAATGGTCTTCAAGTTTGCTTTGTTGCTTTCACCGAAGGAAAATGATATGGAAAAAGCTAGTGTCATTTCAGGGTTAAGCACCTGATGTGCTACTGCTAATGTCACCACTAGTGATACTAGGATTGACAGGGCTGAAGGTCCCCAGTGAACTGAAAACCCACCTTTCCATGTGAGCGTTCAGCGTGCTCTGTAGCACTGTATTCACAGAAGGGTCCTCCCCACCAAGCAAGGTAGCACAGGGTGGCCCTCTTCCCCTCCGCACTATGCATGCAGTCACAGAGTCACACATTGCTTTGCTGTCTATACTATTTACCTACCCTCAAATACTGCTTCTGCACAAGGGCAAAGTGAACTGTGGTGAGCAGTTCACACTGAAGCATCTTATTTCAGGTGTGCAGAAGAAAAAAGAAGTCACTACACACATGTTCAGCACAATATGGGATTATGGCACATACCTTAGCTAGCAGGGTTAAGAACACTGTGAGGAGCTCCATCCTTGATCCAGCAAGATATTTAAACACATGCTTAAACTTAATAAAGGAAGTAAAGCTTTTATAATCAAGGCTTAAAGTTATCTTTAAATAATTAAGTACCTTGCTGCTTGGGGAAATTAATACTGCATGGGGAAATTAATACTGCAATCCCTGACTTTTATGGTATTTAAGTTGTAAGCTTGTACAGGGTTGATCTAGAGAGGCTTCCCATAGCCTGGCTGGGGAAGAAAGGGTTGGGCAGAGGAACAGAGAGTTGGAAGGAAAGAATAAGGGCAGTTGGAAATAGCTGGCTCAAGAAAGAATCTCCCATCTGCGAAATAATCTTCAGAATTGAAATCAGGAAAATTTAAGGGTGTTGCATACAGTTAGCTGGAAGTTCCTCCACTCAACGTGCACCCAAACCTGTGTTAGAGGAAAAGGGGAAAGAATGGGAAATGGGATAATCACAGAAACGAAGACCCAGAGACCCACCTACAAACTCCCATTCACACAGGCCTCTGACAGGTCACACACGATCGACTCCACACATACAATCAACTCGAAGTACTGTTTGACCCGTGACAGATGAAAACCAAGACAGGAATAAGCCAGGTTTGTCCTGTGTAGTCTTGAAAATCTCCAGTGGAAGAGACTCTAAGAGCCAAAACTGCCAAGTAATCACTAAACATCACACTTCACTCACTATTTTTTTTTCTCCTGCCTCCTCCTCTATAGTTCCTATTTGATGGTCTCTCTACCCTTCAACTCTCTCCTCTACTCTTCTAACTTTTCCTCCACCACCCCGATGTCTTTCCCCCAGTCACAGACACACACTGTGCTCTCCTGGCTGAGTAGAAGAATGGACATAATCTGCTTATGTGTCCAAGGCTTGGAGAGGCCTCCAGTATCCCATCTGCTCCTCGCTCTGGTCTTTCGGGGTATTTCCAATCAAGTCAAGATCTCTTTGCTTTCTGAGATGCTCAGACTCAGTATATCATCTGAAACTGGCCTCTCAATGATGCTGTGGCAGAACAGAACTGTCCCCACTGTAAAGGAAATGGCACATCTGTGGCAGCAGCTTGGCTGAGCAGCTGCAAGGGGTTTCCTAATTCACACAGTACTACCTACTGCCCTGAGCACACCACCTCACTCTGCCTTCTCTGATGAAGGCACAGTGTGTACTTTAAAAAGAAGATCCTAACAATGGATGCTCCTATCCTGTGCATACAACTTTCCCTCTGAAGAGAAAATGTGACAAATGACAGTTAAGCCTATTAATTCTCACTGGGGTGCCCGCGTATTACAGTGATGATGGCAGTGGAGGGATAAATGAGACTAGCTTAGGCAATGCCACTCGGATGCTGCATTCAGCGACACAGAACCAGCGAAGAGGGGCTGGGTCACCATCGCTGCTCTGCTACATTTGCCCTCCATCTGGTCTCAGATGACCCTGAACCCAGCATGTGGATTCACATCTCTGGGGTGGCCAAGGCCTGACTGGGCAGGCTGGGCTACCAAGGACCAATTGATGGAGGACGAGGCTTGCAGAGGCAGGAGAGAGAGCTCTCCCAAGTCCAGTCGTGCTAATTAGCAGTGATGAAGCCCCCTGTGTGCCTTTCCAACAGCGATCTTCTCTACCAGCAGAAGATGCTGCTTTTATCTACGGACTCCCTGAAATGGTGCAGCAAAGGCCTGTGGTGGTGACTGCCACTGGATGGATGGGTTACAATCAGATCAGAGAGCCAAAGTCAGGCCAATAAAAGTTTCCAGGTGGTTTAAATCCTCACAGCACAAACAAACAGCACATCAGAGCAGGCTCTCAATGCAGTATAAAAGAGTCAGTCACCTTTAAAAGCAGCCTTTCTCCCCATTCATGAAAAATGTTGCCCAACAGACCTAAAGTACAGGTGGTCCTGCTCACCAAAAGGTGGAAATGGCACACAACCACTATTTAACCTGAACAACTGTCTTTGAAGTTAAGCGTTGCATTAACCTCTGGTGACAATGACAATGCAATGACTTTTGTTGTTGTTTGCAGGACACACATTGATTCTACTATCACTTGCTCAGCTTGTAGTTATCATTGTGGGGTTAAACCATCCCAGGAGGCCATAAGCCTTTCAGCTCTCCATAGTGAATTTATTAATAACTTCCCTCTTAGCTCAGATCCTGACACACTGTAAGAGAAAAAAAAAATCCCTTTCTGCAGGCTCTGCTAAGCAGTTATGGCAAGGAGCAATGCCTGGCAAATCAGTGATTTATGTGATTAGAGCAGTTCCACAGAAAACCATCTGTTGGCAGATGGGCAACCATCTGCCAACAGCTTCTTGGTACTGCTTTTATAGCAAGTCAGAGGTGAAGAAGCAGCATTACAGCCTCTGAGAAGCCCTTTTCATCTCTACTGTCTAAAGCTTTCCTACAATTCAGGAGTCTTTTCTTTCTCTTTCACAACTCCAGTGCTTTAGTAAGACTTGTAAGTACCACTGGGTTGTTTCTATTTACAGACATCAAAAGCTTCACCTATAGGTTACAGCAATAGAACTAAAGAGAACTTGGGAACCGAGTAAGGGTCTTGGAGGCTGTATTCCTTTCCACATCTGGCAGTCTCAAAGATGCCTGCTTTTTTTCTTTTACTAGTGTAGTTTGGGACAGGACACCATTCATGGTGGCAAAAGTGAGGGAGGGGGGAAGAGGCAACACACAGTTCGGCTGGTGTGACACCTGGCTTTCTCAAGCACTCACAACCATGCACAACCAGAGAAACAAGTCACTGAATCTTGATAGAGCCTTGAATTAACTGAGTAATGTTAGAAATCAGATTGTTCCTCTTCCCCTTACTCCAAGTAGGCTCGATGTTCTGCTGCATTTTGATTCCATTTGTTACTCTATGACTAATATCTAGTCAAGTTATTAAACCAGCATTTGGGTTCTCACTCCTTTTGACTCTTGGCTATGCGGTTGCAGATGAGTATTTGCATCCTACAAGCTGAAAGGCAGAGCTGTTAGCTGTACTTTCTGGACCTTTTCTTTTTAAGTCCCCCAGCTTCCAGAAGGAACGATTCCTCCCCGTCTCACTCAGCCTTCCCCTTTGTCTGAGGATTCTGAGTTGCTCCAGGAGGAAATCTGGGGTTCAGATAGAAGTGCTGTGAATCTCAGCCATTGTATTTGCCCTCATAGTGCTGTTCCTATGGATGTAAGCACAGCATCTCACCACTGCATATATGTTTTCAAACAGCTCTGGCTATCTAGGCCAACAGAGGAAGGAGAGAGGAAAAAGATCGGCTTCCAGCCAAAATGAGAGTCCGCAGACCCAAAAGGCCAGTGCTGGGATGTCTGCCAAATCAGCAAATGATCGGTTACAAAGTAGTGGGACAGAGCTGCTGCAGAGACAGGCAGCACAGCCGTTCACTGAAAGCCCAGGGACACACTGCGTTTCACTGGGATGCGACAGGGAAACCAGCCACCACAAGGATATATACCCAAGAATCAACTCCAACAGCATCCTTAAGGCAAGCCAACTTTATGTGGAACAGCAGGTTCAAGAGCCTGGAAACCACTGGGTTGTGAATAACAGTTTTGTATCATTTTGCCCAGTAGCTGGGTGTCCTCCCTCTGGCTGCAGGGCAGAGCAGAGCTCAAATTTAACTAAGTAATGACGCATGTCTGGGATTTCCCATTGCAAGATTGCCTTCTTGGGACTCTGCTCAGCAACACTGCCATTCTGCAAGGCACTTCAGCACGCTGAGGTGCAACAGCAGCAGTAACAGAGCCCCCAGACACCCAGAGAGCCAGGCAGGCAGTCACCTACTGCTCGAGCAAGTCTGCAAAGCAAGATGCAGAGAAGGTGAAAGGAAGCACCTCACAGCAGCAAGAGCAAACCCATTCCGGGCCACATTTGCAGCACACATGGGCATATCTGTGACAAAAGGGACAGATAGGCAGAGTGAGGGTTGCAGAAGGACACTAGCAGCCTAGCTGAGCCAGCCTGGCAGGCTGCCTTTCAGAGCTGTTGAAACTTGTGCCTCTATCTAAGTGGGCAGCCTCTGCACCCATTTCCTCAGCCATCACTACTCCAGAAGTTATAACCAGCCAGACACTTCAGACATCAACATTATCACGTGAAGTAAAAGCACTTGCTCCCATGTGAAGGAAAATAACAATTGAAATATCTGCCAGTGGGGGTGCGGCCTCCCTTCTGATGCATTTCTGACTAAGTGATCACAAAAGCATAAAACATCACACAGTGGCAAATAAGCCGAGAGCCAAGCCAAGTAAAGAATGAAGCAAAAAACCTATGAAGCTAATAGTTACCCTTCCTTTTTTTATCCAGAAAATTACCAATCACCTCCAAGAGAGGACATGTATGTGCCAGAAAGTGAAGCAGAAGAGTTACACACCAAGGCAGACAGTCAGCCTGTTACCTCTTTCACCGAGTCTGGGCTTTTGAAGAGAAACAGCTCCTAGGCGCATTTCCTCTTTATTCCAGAACAGTTAGCCTTACATCAGTTCAATATTGTGAACTGATTCTATCTTGCTTTACCCCCATTCTGAGCAGAAACACCATTTCCCTGCTGGTTTATTGCATGTTATGGTTTTTTTGTATTGACAATCTCGTTTCAGGCAAGAATATCGCCCATGGACTGGAGCAAAACCATCCAAACCTATAAAGACAAAGCAAGGCTTCATTATCCCAGAAGAACATTTTGTTCAAGAGACAAGCTACAAGGCAGATTTTAAGGTAATTAACACTTCTTCAAATTTCTGTGTCCATGTGGGTAAAGCCCAAAGCATGCATTAGCAAATCCTCATTTGTTAACCAGTGTGGCATGCATAGAATTAAGCCATGTTCTCATTGAGCGCTCTTTCCTCACTGTCCATTAGGTAATGTGGCCATCCTTTGCTTTCAGAGAGGCATGCTAGAGAATGTTTTTTTCATAACTTAACATAATGCAACACTGAGATCAGGATTTTAAACTGCATGAAAGTCGGGCAGTTCAAGATTTGCGATTCCCACAATTGGATGCCTTGTGTACAAGGTGTGTGTCACTATGTATCTTTGTATAAGGTCTATTTAACAGCCTCTGTACATATTCAGAATGGTCAGTCCGTGGTGCATCTCTCTTCTGCCAAGTCTAGGGCTGTAGTGAGAGACTTAGACCTTCACAGTTGATACTAAACACTGATAAATGCTTGTATGAAATGTTTGCATGTTGTTGCCTAACGAACTCCACCCACTCAAACAGCACCAAATTCCTACATCATGGGAAGGGCAGAAAATTTCACCTCTGCCACCCTCAAGCAGAATATGGCTATAGTAAGTGCACTCAGGCTTCCTTGTGATTTCCGTGTGCATTTCTATGACCTTTTCTAGCAGCGTAAGAATGTCTTCTTGTTGGCCAAACACATGTAAGCACTACTGCAAAACCTTTGAATTCTCTCTCTACTCAGCGTTTTCCCTGACACGGCCCCAAATACTCATGCATCCTGGTAAGGAAGGAAAGACTGCACACAGAAACAGCCATAGTTTAGCAGCGTTTTGCATTAGGACACCGCAGAACCATGCTTCATGACCAGCTGCAAACCAGCTGCACTAACTGCAGTTAGAAAGCAGAGACATGGCTAGGGCAGGATTCCCCAGCTGCAGTATTTAGCACCATTAGAGATGAGCAGCTCCTCTTGAGCCATTTGTAAAAAGCAAATCTTTGTCTTGGAGGAGATGAGGAAGAAATGTTTAGTCAGCAGGCAGCCAAATGCCTCCTCCCCAGAGGGCTGCTGGCTCAAAGCCCTAACAACGCGCACAACGGATGTACCCAGCGCAACTAAATGTGGGACAGTGGCCTACGGCAAAGCAAGAGAGAATCTGCAAATCTTATGAAAACTGCCTCTCTGCCTTGGAATGTCTTCTGCGATAGTCTGGGATGTTTTCTGAGGTGCAGCAACAAGGTCAGAAGAGTTGGGACTCTGCAGGGGTAAAATACCATTCTCAGGCTCAGACAGCCCAAGACTTGGGCAGCTGCAGGAGGAGGGAGAAAGGAAAGATGGCAGCAGTAGGAAACGCCAGTGCGAGAGCACTGTCCTGCCAAAAAGTCTTCCTTCCAAGGTAGTGCCTCCTGTTGCCCAAGATGTGTAGTGCTGTGAGAGATACACTGCCCTCCTTAGGCTTTCAGTGTCACAGGCAGGAGCCCGAGGAAAGGGTCCTAGATGAACCCATCAGAGTCCCCATCCCAGGTCCTGGGAAAGCGAAAAACAGAAATGGGATCCCAGAGACATTCTGAGACATCACTAAAGACACAATACTGCAGATGAGGTAAGCAAGGTTCCACCGGGACCTTTTTATCATGGTCAGCAGAGGGAAAAGTGTATCTGAGATAGAGATGATGCTGCAGAATCACCAGTTCAAACAGAAGTGAGACTGTTTCAAGTACCCGATTTGTTCACGGCCATCTGGATTTTCCCTCTTGCCTGAACATGGATTTGCTAGACACTTGAGAAGTCAGTTTATGGTCTGACAGCCTGTGTGCAAGACTCAGTGCTGATCTTTCCACAGCCACTGAGCACTACCCAGGCTTTGTTTGTGATGCTACTCTTGTTCCTCAGTGTTTCAGATGCGTCCCTAGAGGGGTGGAAAAAAATGAACAACACAACAAAAAACAGATCAATAGCTATTTTCCTTTCTCCTAGACTCTGTTGTTCTGCGGTCATGCTCTTCTTTCTCTGCTTGGGCAGTGCCATCAAAATACTCAGCACAAAGCAAAGCTTATAAACGTTTTATGGCCAGATTCATCCAGAGTCCTGTGCTGGATGCATAAATAACTGCCCAGCCATGACTGTCTTCTTGCTACAGAACACACCTCAAGGTCCAAGGGCCTGGTTCTAATTAAACCACTCCTCCACAGCCAAGCATTATACATCTCCCGTCAGTCATCCTGAAAGCTTAGACCCGTCTCTGCTATGTCCATCCAAGAGCAAATGGTTATCAAGTAATGGCATGTTACGGGTCAGAGCAGATATGCCAAACTCTCTAGACCCAGTAAAATTCACACCAGAGTTGCACTTTGTGCTGCACTAACATTTCTTCCCCCCTGCTCACCCCACCAGATTCCAGAAGTGGAGACCAAGTTCTCTCCCAATCCTTCTGCTGTTTTCCAGGCACCATCGCGGATCCTCAACGTGTGAACCTGGACCCCGTTTGCATCCAGGCGGCTTCAATGTGGGCTGTTAATATGTGTCACTATGCAATTTTCATGAGGAGTGTTACTATCAAAGAAAAAATATTACCAAAAGCAGCTCCAGTGATTAAAGATATGTACACACACTTTCTGTTAACACACAGATCGCTAAGTGCTTGATTCAGAACTGGCAAAACACACTGCAAGGAGTGACCTAGATTTTCGCAGAAACAGGTCCAGCTGTTGTTGTACTATGTGTTGTTGTTGTATTATGCCAGCTGGCTTTACATGAGCAGACTGACTTTGGGCAGGAAAGACCGTAGTGCAGGCAACATCGCTATGTTTAACTACACAGGCTAGGAGGGAAAATACTCACAAATAGGATAAATAAAACAAAAAAGAGGCTTATTTAACAACACCCTCTAAAGTAGGCCAGTGAAAGATAGGAAATGTCTGCCTGACTTCTGAGCTTCTTGGTTTATTTTTTTTCTTTTCTTTTCTTTCTTTTTTTTTTTTTTTTTTTTGAGATAGGAAGCTGAAAAGCTGAGTATTTCCAAAACTGGACAATTGACAGAGAAGCGAGAGGGGACTGAACTTCTGAAAACAGACGTGAAAATAATGCACCAGCCTGGTTCAGAGATTATAGCATAGAGGGAGTCAGCTAGACACCTGCCAGACTCCTCAGAAGCAAATCTAAAGCATTTATGTGATTTGCATAGTTGTGCTTAGGGTAAGTGTAAATACTGTACATAGATTTTAGCTAAAGCAACTTAAGATCCTTTAATGAAAAGGATATGCTTGTACTTTTAACAAATGTTAACTCTTTGCATATGCAAGGTGGAAAATATATTGCCTTGAAATTCCTAAATTATTGCCTGTATATGGTAATGCTAATGCTAAGAACAACCAGAAGTGAATGTTATGTAGAAACTTTTAAAAAGTAGAATATAAGACATCCTTCATTTCTAAGATAGTTTATCTGAAGTGTTTTGAGAAACCCTTTTTTTTTTTAGCCCTTGTTCCTCTGGGAGTAAGTTTCAAGTTTCTATCTCAAGGATTTAGGCAACATTATTAGTCTACTATTTAGTTAATGCTTTTCCTAATTATTTTTTTGGGGAAAAAAAAAAGGAAATAGAAAAACTTCTATTTTGTGTGTTTGAAATAGGTCTGCTAGAATGAAAGGAAACTGTATCATCCGATTGGAACAGTAATCATTCACCTGTAATTAAATGTACTTCAACACAGGAAGATTTTTTCCTTAACCTTCTAGCTCAAGTCAAAGGCTAATTTAATGAACTTTTGGGACTCTGCAAACACATATCCATAGCTGATAATTTATATAAGAAGAATTTTTGAACTGCTGGCATGTGGATTATACTTGAAACTTATGCAGAGAACATCTTCTCATTGCATTATGTGATGATTTAAATGGTGCCACCTCTGTTATTTATTTGACAGGACCTAAGAACTTAGACTAAGCACAAGTACAGGTAACATCCTCAGTAAGCTGTTTTTGGGGGAGACGAGGAATGGAATTTCTCACACTTGTCCTTTCATTTGGACTCAGAGGAACATACACTAACAACAGTAGTTGCCAAAATAATTTTCTGGAAAGTCTCATTTTTCAGGAATTTGACTGAAACATTCAAATTCCACTACAGGTTTTGCATGTTCTATGTTTTTAAGAAAGAACTCAATTTGCCTGATTGATCTCTTTATAATGTTTTTAACAGTTCTATTCAAACCATTTCAGTTAATTTCAATCCTGGACTTCTGGACTTTATTGACAGCAGAAAAACAATTATTGCCTATTCAGTCTGCGTTCTTAATCCACTGTATTTCTAAAAAAAAAAAAAAAAGAAAAAAAGAAAAAAAAGATGACAAAACCCAGTTGTGAACAAACTGGTAATATAAGCTTGTATTTTACCAAATGGACTTGATTTAATAAATCAAAATGTATTTTGGCTATTGGTTCTTTCCTCAAATCCTTCTTGCTGTAAAACATGTTGCTGGATATTTAGCCTCAACAGGGAAGTCTGTCACCATATTTCACTCTCCAGTCTACAAATGCTGTTGCACAGGGAGTCAATATTCCAGACCAGTATATAGACCTGCATGGACAGGACAGCAGTGCGTGCAGGACGCCACAAAAGGGGACAGTGCGATTCCTGACTCTGCACTCGCACCCTGTTTCCAGTCATTCACTATCAGGAGTGGTAAATTCCTTATTCTTTAAGCTGATCTGCAAGCATAGATCCCTAGGAAGAATGATATCTGGGGCACAATTCAAACTGTGGCATGTCTGAATGGTGATTTAAAAGCACAACTGCCTTCAAAGAGAAAGCTGTTGCTCGGCAGAATTCATAATTGCTCGTGGGATTTTTCTCCAGATGCTTTCAAACAAAAAAGCAAATTATTCAAAAGGCAGTTAATCAGCAAGGGGAATGGGATTGAACCAATAACACTGATCTGCTGCATTCACCATCAGATGCAGAGGCTGATACATGGATGCCACGCTCCCAAGACCCTCGTCAGTGCCACTATGTTAACAGGAAGAGACACAACTTGCCTTTCACCTGGCTTCCACTCTGCTGCCTTGCACAGATCACAGGGCAAATGCTGCTAGTTTTGATTCTTAAGATATTGCTTTATAGTTGCTTCCAAAATCATTTTTTATGCTGACTATCCAGTCAGCATGCCCAGATACGGGAATTCCAGCTCTAGCTATGCCCCGGCGGACTGCCTGGAGAAAGCCACGGGCTCCTGGTGCTGCTCTCTGGCTCCAAGCACAGCAGGGAACAGCAAAAGGACCACCAAGCAGGTACTCACTAGAGGAAAGGGATGGGGAATGGTCCAGGCTGCTGACATCTGCAACACCCCTGCTTGTGCGTGGGAACTCCCTGCCTCTGTCAAACCCACTAAATTGCTCTGAAGTGAGCAAATCGTGGATGCAGGTTTAACAGGCTCCAGACAATCACAGTGTAGGGACTGTCTCCATCACTGCTCTCACACATTTGTGCTCCCCATTGCTCTGGGCTCAGTTCAATCCACCAGCACTTTCCTACCATGAACCATCCTGCAAACAAGAGTTATGTGACACAAATAAAAAACTCTTTAAGAGGAAGGTTTTACACCTGAACTGTAGTAATTCACTTCCTATAGAGTGCCATTGAACGCTCTTGTTCTATCTCCTGCTAGCAAGCAACACTTGGCCTGTTTGGATGCTGAGGGTGAGATTTGTGCCAGCTGCCTCTGGTACTGCAGGGAATGAGGACCAGCCACACTTTTGTGTGTTCAGGGGAAGCTCTGCTCTGTTACATACTCTGTGACTCAGTTCTCACTGCCTGAAATGAATACCTGGAAAGCAATGCATTAATAATTTCTGGATATGCAAAGAGGTTCCCTATTATAGACTTCAGATATCTCTTCGCATTGCATGAATTTCTTGTGGGAAGAACAACCAGATAAAAACCTCTTACCTCTGTCCTGTCCCTATAGATTTGCTCTATATTGCTCATCACACAGTAATGCAAGATCCAAAGGACCAACGCAGTTTATGGTGCACACGTGGATGCCATTAAACACGGAGGGGTGATGCTTGTCGCCAGGACAGAGATGGCACAGGATGCCTGGGCAATCCTTTGTGCTCAGTGGCTTGTTCTTTAACACCACCGAGTCGGCGTACGGTGAGCTGGGAATGCTGTTCACACCTGTGCTAGATCTGTATACAAATTACTTCATTTTGGAAGCAGATGGTGCAGCACCTCCTGGGAGCACGGCAACTGCTTCCGTAGCCGTGAGACTAAGGCATTAATTACAAGTCAACCCACTGACTTTAGGCCTTTGCCAATTGGGAAGACAGCAACAAGCTATGAACACGCCTTAGAGTCAGAGCCAGATGGCAGTTGTTTGGCCGAGACCCTCCTTGCCAGAAGGAAAGGCTAATAACAGAACCCAAGAAAAATTGTGACAAGTGCCTGCAGGAGGTGTTCTGTGTGAATGCATTTCCATCTCCTGCAAATGACAGCCACTTCCTGTAGATAGATTTGTGAAAGTGTCAAAGCAAGAGGGCTGCAACACCCACAAGCAGAGGCATCAGCTGAAACATTCCAAAATGCATTCCCACACTGACTGACTCCACAGGACAGTTGGTCTTCAGTGTGCTCATTTGTTCGGCTCTGGCATTGCAAAAGGCACTACAGCTTATGCGCGGTTTGAGGAGTCTCCTTTATGGGTTTAGCACTAACAAGAGTCAAGGTTCTAGTATTTTCAAAGACAACAGTGGAAAAACGGATCAAAGTCACCTAGGATTTTCTTTCCCCACAATCTCCTCAATCAAACCGAGAAATCATTTTTTCTTACTTTTTTCATTCCTCTTCAATCTTCCACACAGCTCAGGGCAAGCCAATTACTTGCTGTTTTTAAGAGCCACCCTTCAAATGCAAAGCTGGGGTAGCTCAACCTGCCGAGTTTATGGTCCCCCTCTCCCCAACCTACCTCAACCAAAAGCTTTAAAAAACAATTAAAAGAATGAATTACCTTTTCCTTGAGACAAATTCAAGATCCACCGAATTTTCTCCCCAAACTAATTAAAATGTTCCAAGTACAGAAAGGACAAAAATCTGGAGGCTTGGAATATCTTGCTTTGAGTGCCAAGTGACAGTCCTATCACAGCTAATAAAAGAATTTATTGTAAACATATGTATCTTACACAATTATACAGTATAATACAGATAACATGAAGGATTTAAACATTCAGCATTACAAAAAGGACAATATTTGTAAAGAGATCTTTAGCTTGTATTAAGACTCTTTAGAAAGCCAGAGAACTACACTGGAATATTCCAATTCTACACCTAACTGGGTGTATGAAATTTCCACCACCTCCCATGTATTTCCAAGCAATTCTGATGGAAACTTCTTGGTGATTTTTTCTCCCACCATTTTCAAAATTCAGAGACCTTACCGCAAACATATTCTACATCTGCAGACTAAACAAATGTGTTATTTTCTATCTGCTCTTAACAGATTTTTTTTCCTTAGCAAACTTTACATATTATTGAGATAGCATCTCCCAGGAGAATAACCTGTAGCTGCTCAGAAATCAATAGATTTCTGTAAGAACTCTGGTAAGAACAACAGGCATTTACTTGTCTTCTTTACAGACTGGTTCAGCAATCAAAGTTTGAAACTCCATTTTCCAGCTCTACAGAAAAGCAGGACACAGGCAAGGAAGCCAGTGATGTGCAAGAGGTGCCCAAAACAAGCTCCTGCATCAAGAGCTTCTCTAGGCATACTGAAATCCCAGAAACTAAGCCCCTTAGAGAGAGAGGGGGCTGGACATGCATATGTCACTCCAGGAGATCACAGCACTTCTGATTTTGCACAAAAGGCTGTTCCCACACCTGCAGGCTGCTGTAGACATCTCAAAAATGCTCTAATGTACAAGCTATGTACAGGAGTGTCTGAAAGCTGGAAGGGCTTTTGATTGGGCTACAGCCTGTAGACAGTGCGAGCGCTCAAGTTCTGCAGCTACCTGGATTCCTCCCTGCTCTCAGCATTGTGCTCAGACATGATCAGCAATCTCTTCGCACTAATCTCAGCTGAAAAACTAACGCCATGGCTACACTGCGCACTTGTTATTTGTGCACGCAATCCTGCTCCAGGCTTATAGAACGAGCCAGGATTATCTTTCAAATCTAAAGCATCTGAAATGCCCTTTCTGGGGGCATTTGAGTCCTTCTCCTCTGCATGCAGTCCAGGGTTCAGACACTAGATCCATTTCCTGTGCTCAAGGGCCAAATTCTGCCACTCTTGTTCTAGTTGACTGAAGCTCCCCATCAGCTCTGATGGGCTACCTGCAGACCCTTGTTTATTTAAGGTTAAGAAAAGTGGCATCTCAGCTAAGGTTTGCAGTTCTGTCCTTCCACAGTTTAAGAACTGCATTAAACCTAGGCCAGCTCTCCTTGGGAGCTTCCAACCACCCAGTAACTAAACCATCTTCCACTGTTTCTGCATACAGGTGGAGCTACTATCATCCATCTTCTAGCCCCGAAAAGCACCAAAAGATTTTATTTTGAAGATTTATGCTCCTATCCCAGGCCAAGAAAAATAACTGTAGTTTCACATTTATAAAAAGCTTCGCATTGTCAAAGCACAGCATCAACAAGAGTGAGGCCCCAGTACACTCCTGTGAGGTAGGTATCCTGCTCCCCATTTTGAAAAACAGGGAAACTGAGGCACAGAGTGATTAAATCCAAGGCTCTGCCGCAAATGAGTGACCCAGCTGAGATCAGCGCCTGGGAGGCTCTGGCCGCTGAGCTCCGTTCCACCCGCCCAATAACGGGAGCACCCCAAAAACCTCCCAGCCAGCAAGGGTCCCAGCAGCCCTACAACGGCCTAATGACACTGCTGGCCAGCACAGGCAGAGGCAGGGGCAGGGCAGGGGTGGTCAGGACATTGGCAGGGAGGCTTTCTCCAGCAAGCTCTCATGTCTTCGGCAGCGGCGATGTTCCCGAAACGGGTAAGTGCTGCAGTTAGAGGCAGAACTTCTTGCAGTCGAGACATCAGAGGTGCTGCCCCCAAGCAGTAATCTCTTATTTTTTGATTCTATCAGGTCTCCGGGTGTTGATAAGCAGTGCTCACTTCATAAGCAAAGCTGAGCGTTAGCGAGTGCTGTCAAACAGAACAGCTCGTCTGCCCTCCCATCTTAGGGCTCCAAAACTTCTGACAGATGGGGCAGGCACTTGCCGGACAAGCAAAGGGTTCCAGCCAGTCCAAACTCACAAGCACTGCAAACTGTCCTCTTCTAGATACTTCAGCTCTTCTTTCTTATGCAGGATAAGTGGCCAGGCAAGTCTGACTATAGTTTATTCATCTAGATTTGGGAATGCGCTAGTTGACTGAGAAGATGATCTCCTTCAGACAGGCAAGGAATTTGATTAGGTTACACTTAGCTGAATAAGCTAATGAGAAGCCTATCCAACTCTTATCAGTTGTATACATGATGCTCAAGCATGACTTGCAGAATTTATCGCAACCATCAATAAACAGTTAGGCATCACCCAAACCTAACCACCCATTACTTCGTCAAACAGCCCACCTTCAAAAGTCGCCCATATTCAGTGTGCTGACACAACTGTTCTGCCCACGGTGTGTGGAGACCAACTCATCTGTAGTCTGCATCAAAAAGCAGGCAAAGTAACAACGAATGATTTCTTTTCCAAAAAAACACTCAACCTCATCAATACAGCTGCCATTACATGTACAAGACCTGTGAAATCTTTCATGGTTAGCAACTCGATGCAAACTGACGTTTGTTCAGCCACTGAACATACACTTACTGAGTAAATACTGACATTTAACAACTTGATTTGGAACAGAGCATCGTTTTGTTGCATTAAGGTGCATCTTTAATTGGAGGTAACAATCTAGTAGCCCAATGTTATAAATGTTTATAATAGTGTCCTACAGAAATACTGGATTTGTCATTCCAACTTCCGTCATAAATCCAACCTTCCTGTAGCATCTTCTATGTTCTATTTCATTGTTCCTCATTTAGTATCTTCATATGTTTGTTGGTGAGGAAGTCGAGAAACGGAATATTACAGATGGCTTTGTGAATATTCATCACTGTGATCTCTTTTGGAGTCCTGCAAGGAAAGAATCAAAGATACTATCACGTTACTTAAAGACAATTGTTTATAAAGCAGCAAGGCAATAGGTTTACCAACAGGAAGAAAGAAGTCTAAAAACGTGTAACGGAATAGGTGTTAAAACAGCACAACATTAACATAATTAATTATTGAACTTGTAGAGCACAGACATTATATGTGTGCAAACACATACACGTATGTGTGCACATGTATATTAAATATAAGATTTTCAACTAAGTATTTTCTCAAACTGTTTTTTTTTCCTGACTCAATTTCAAATTGCCCCAGAGTCTGCCAGTGCTGGTGGTCCAAGAGAAATTAAGCCACTGTACCTGTTGTGAGGTGTTGTCTGGTATGCTACAGCCAGTGCTTGCCGCAGAATATCACTCATAAGCTGTTCAGTGGCCTGTGACAAAAGGCAAAATAGGGCAACGACATTATGGAAAGAGAAAAGCTACTGCTTGAGTATCAGTATAACTGAACACTGGAATTTTGGCTTATCAAATCATTAGAGGCAGTTCAACAGGCCGAAATGATTTTTATTAGCACAGGGAGAAGCACTTCCATTTAAGAGAGAGGGGGAGAGCGCGCGAAAGAGAGAGGGGGAGAGAGAAAGGGGAGTGGGGAGAGGAAGGGGGAGTGGGGAGGAGGGGATAGAGCGCCTGCGTGTGCGCAAGCAGAATTCATGACTGCAGCTGCCCAGTCTGGCTTCTTCCTGGACCTGCAGAGCAGCATGTGCACTGCAGGGTGGATCCGATATCTACACAGTTTGCGCTCAGAGTATTTTAGGGCCCAGCGTTTTACCAAGATGTTGGTTTTACATCCAGATATTCTTCCGGGAGTCAGTCTGTGCTCGTTAGTCAGTCTGCAGCTACCAGGCTTGTGTGTAGCCAAAGCACTTAAACAAAGGGCTGGCTTCCTAGCCTGGGCAGCAGCCACATGCCCCGCACACTTGGCTCAACCAGGGTTCAACCAAAACTTCATTAGGGCTCTCGGCTCTCTGTGATGATAGCAAGGCTAGAACAGAGGTTCCTGGGATGTTTGGTCAGGAAGACTGGCATAACTACAATTCTACTGCAGCAACCCAGTTGCTATGATGTGTGTCAACAAATAGATTTTATTTGTATTTAACTTCACACAGGATAACTAAGATAGCTCAGCAGAGCAGGTGTTTGTGTGTGCATGCATGCTGAAAACCTGGAATCCATCAGCTTTTATAAAAATATCTTTTGATAGACAACAATCTCTATAAACAATCTCAAAAACTGTCTTTGGCTTGAAATACAGCAGAGCACTGCTAAAAATAACCTAGTCTTCGGTCCAAACACAAGAACTCCCAAACCTGTGCTGTTGTTTTGGTGAGATACAGTCTCTACCTCTCTCAAACCAAGTATGACAGACAAAGGGTTTCTTGTAAAAGGGAGAAATTCTGCTGACTTCAGCCATTCAGTGTCCCATTAGAGTCACCCAGGATAAAAGGAACTGAAGAGTAATTAGGAAAAAGGCATCTAACCCTCTCATAAGAAATAAGAAAATCAAGTCTTCTAGAGGTGTGGCAGGACTTTTTTTTTTCTTCCTCCCTCAATTTTGAGGGGCAAGCCAAAGTAAGCAGTTCTAAATAACTTTATAAGTTATAAAATAAATCAGTATCTTAATGGAGGTTAGCAGTTGCAGATCACTATTCTAAGTCCAAGCCAATAGATCAGTTAAAAATGCATATTAATATGGATATTTCTTTTTTCTCTCTCTCTTTTTAACATTACTGGATTAATACAGCCACAGGAAAATTAATGTGTTATTGTGAGTTTTTTTTTTTTTTTTTTACCTTTAAAATCATATCTTCTATTACAGATGCATAAACATTCTTGTGCACCTCAGCAGGCTGAAAAGAAATCCCGATCTATAAAGTATGACAGGAAAAAAAAGGACAAATTAGTACATCAAGTAATGCAATCAACATTCATAACAGTTGAGATGACAATGAGATAATTTCAGAAACAATCCATTATAATGACTTTTTTAAAAAAAAAAATGCAGACTTTAGGGCAGTATAATCTCAGGCTATATTAAAAAAGAAGAAAAAAATGAAGCTAAACCAATTAGAACAGCTAGCAGAGATGTCTCTGAAACATGGAACAAAAGAGATGTTCATTTTGGTAACAGAGTCTACACAAAAAACAAACTACATCTCTGGATTGAGAATGAAAACTCCTCAGGTGTACGCACACTCTTCCTGGCACTTTACTATAACAACTGAGAGACTGTTAAACACTACTCTGGTACAAAGGTTCAGCATCCAGAGACTGTTTCATCCCCCAGTACACTCCCACCATGCCTGCTCCCTTGTCTCCTATGTGACAGGAAACAAGGAGACAATAAAGAAAGAAGTTTTGCCCCTTCAGTTTAGTCTCTGAGGCAAAAATGGAGATACCTTTCCTTCTGCCATAGATGCTGTGAGGAACTGTCTGTGCTTCAGTCTCCCGCGCTGTAGCAGAAAGAAGTCTCTCCCTTTCCTTCACTCAGGTTTGAATAGGGAGCAGCAGAGAAGTTTGCTATCCTCTTGGCTTCACTTCACTTCTAGGAGCCACTGTTAACTGGACCAGTCCCAGCAACAAGTCCCCAGTCTTTTCCATGACAGGCCAGAAGGCAATCAATGCAAGTGCTCCATTTTCCTCATTTCTCCTTGCTGCTAGCCATCCTGACAGATTTACTGCTGCTAAATTCTGCAACACAGCTGTATTGCAAAGAACTTCAGGCTAGCATGCTTCACTCCCTCCTACCAGCACTGCCCGACAAATGTCATGGGTCAGAGAGCCCACTTTTTCAGGCCACTTACAAAAACCATGCCAAAGATGAGTGATAGACACCCTAGATAAAAGTTAAGCCACTGCCAGCTTAGCAGCTGTTCCTACTAGCAGTGTGACTGAAGCACTCATTACCTTTTCTGCTGTATCCCTCACAAACTCTGATGCAGGCAAGGAGGCCAAATAGAATTTCATCTCCTCTTGTTTCTCCTCCTGTTCCTTTTTAATGTTTATTTTTAATGGCTCACAGAAGTTGAGAACATCTACTTCCTCTTCATGCTCTGGTTCCCGCTTCAGAAACTGCTGCAGTTCCTCCAGTTTTTGGCACAGCTCCTCACCACTGGTGTAAGATGAAGGGCATTCTGAAAAAGAAGCAACCATTTAAACATATGGACAGATTATGGGAAAAGCACTTATAAACACATACTCAAAATATGATTAGAAACACAGGTAACTGGAGGTTATCTTTGTAATTCCTAATACACATACAGATGAACAGAAATGCAAACAGTCATCAAGAGCCCTCTAATTATGTCTTCATTACACTCATGGTGCTGTCCCTCATTTGCCCCTACACCAATCAACAAAGTTGCTCTTCAAATAATAATACAAGCTTCCTACACAGTGTCACAGAAGCCTTCTGACATGCAATCAAAGCACTTGGTAAAGCAGTCTGATGCTCTTCAGCCCACATAGAGAAATGGAGATTTACTGTATAGGCACCATGTAACACTAGGTCATCTTTTCCATTATGCCAAGTCCTAGAGTTCTTTTTGAGAAAAATCAGAAGACAAATTTCCATATGCAAGGATAGCTCTCTTCTCCACATGCTCGAATCAAGCAAGTAAAAAAACCTTTTGTGGAAAGCTACATGGTAGACAGATCCTTGTTTTCAAGAACAAATATAAATATAGTTATTTTGACAAAAAAATTAAAATGGAGATGCAGACTTCCTTTCCACCTTCAACTACTTTCCACCTTTCCAGACTTCCTTTTCACCTTCAACTACTTCCTTTCCACCTTCAACTACTCAGACTTTGCACAGAATAATGAGATCCACACACTTCTGTGAAATACTCTAAATCCTTTTATGATCAGGCCAGAAAAACACTCAGCTTTGGGAAAAGGATTATTTGAAGGTGAAACAAGGGAACCTAAGCGGAAAGAATAGATGAAGATAAAGATATGTGTTTAATACAGACTGCAATGTACTGTGGATATTCCACAGCTATCCTTAGCGGAATACCGTAGCAGCTTAACAGCCCAACATGAAGGTTCATTCAGGACAATTTACTTGACTTTTAGAGGTAAATAACCCACAACTGTGCTCCATGCTACCACTGCCAGACAGCTTCTTAGATCTGAAGCTCACACTTTGCACAGGAGCCTTTTAACAGAGGCTAAACTTACCCAAGGGCAGCTCTGGTAGTGTCACTACTCTGTATGCTTAGTTCACGTGCCTGCTTAGGAAAGGTTGCACTATAAAGTGAGGAGCGCCATCCACCACGTGTATCTGCACTTGCTCCTCAAGGGGCCCAAAGCAAAATGGAAGCCAAAGAGGTGCCAGAATGTGTCAAGCTTGGCAGGGGGCAAGAGACAGCTTCACTCCTACGTTTGCCTGTAGCATCTCTCCAACTTCTGTTACCCGCAGAAAATAAGTTAAAGAACAAACCTCTTTGTCCTGAAGGACAGGCACGTTCGTGCGCAAGCAAAGTCTTGAGCCATGTAATAAACAAGGAGTTTGCTGCCTCCATACTCACCCGGCTCATTGTCTATCTGTGTCAGCACATCTTCAATCGAGTCCTCCTCATTCCGCAAGGTCTCGGGGTCGGGTGGAGTGTAGCCATGGCATCGACACCACTGTACCACGTGTTTGATTTTCAGGGGTGCAATGTTGTGAAACCTGGGGTGCTTTTCTATGATTTCTTGCAGGATCTTTCTCACTGTCATTGCTCGTTGCCACTGTGACAAACCAAAGGGAAAGTTCACGGTGGCTACAACATTTAATCTAAAGCCACCCTATGGCTCATAAAAATATTCTAGGATGCAAGGAAAACAAAAGGAGCATGGTTTTCCCAGGGATCAGAATGGCAAGGAAAAATAAACATGGGATGTGGCTGTAAACCTGATGCTCTGAGCAGGTCATGCATTCTCTGCTTTCTCATGCAACTAAAACCTCAAGAAGGAGCCCTGTCTCAGGGACATCCCTTTACCGGCGCTCAGAAGCATTTCTGTCTCGACTTCACTCTCTCATCTTCCAAGCAGCACTTTAAGATAGCATAGTGCAAGAAGCTGCCAGAGCAAGAGGTGCTCTTCTATATTTTGGTTACACATTTTGTTCATTTAAGTTGGAGACAGCATCAAGTCTAATCAGTTTGTTATTTTCCCTATACAACCTACAGCAAGATGACAAAATTATTAAGAAATAATGGGAAAACGTAACAACCACCAAACTAAAAGATCCCGATGTGTTGATATAATTATCCTTGAAGGACTGAACGTGTTTCAGTATTATCACCTCTTAGGTCAGATTTCTCAATTCTCCTTCTATAAAAAGTAGACATTATCTCATGAAAAGAGGTAAGGAGGACAAAGTATGCAGGGGAAAATTCCCATCACCATGATATACCACAAAGGAGTGTTGAGGATAAAGCGGTAAAAGGATAGTTTGCAAAAATTTGGTATTTTGTTTCAAAATATCTTTTCAAATGTTTCAAAAATATCTTTCTTCAAACAGACAGAAAAATCGACCTTCAAGGTCCCTTCTATTTGAGAAAGTCTCTGAAAAATACACGGAAGCACTACGGAATAGCAACCAGTGCACCTTACAGTGAGGAATGCTTCTGTTTAAAATCTGACAATGCTTCAGGAAACAAAGCAGTCAACAACGATGAAGATTCTGCAATTCCAGAATACTTCTTGCACCCTTATTGACTGTTTACAAAACACTGGAGAAGATTACCTCGGCTGCCCTCCTCTTGCCAATATTCCAGCTATAGTACTGTTCCACTGAACTGGCACAAAAGGAGCTGACATCTTCACCTAGAAAGAGTGAGGAAAGCCAAAAAACAGAATTCAATTTTAATGACAGAAATCAGATTAATTCTGTGTGGATGTACTGTATTTAATGGAGAGAAATGGGGAAATGTTTCATGCTCATAGTGCCAAGGATTGTAACACTTTCACATCCTGTTTTGAGTCTCTCCTTCCCCAACAAGCTCTAAAGAGGTAGGCTGGTAAGGCTATGTAATCAGTAGTCTCATTCTTTTCGAAAAACTTTTTGGCCAACAAATCACAACATGAAAATGAAACAGTGAAAAGATTTCCTGGCAAAATATTAGAAGGGTTCATGAATCCCAATCCAGAGATTCATGGGCCACAAAGCAAGATACAATAGAAGCTTTACTCTGCTACCCACTCCTGTACTCATCTGAGCAGCTCTACCCTACTGAGCCTGCAGGAGCTGCTTTGCAAAGTACATTAGCTACCAGAGAAAAATGACACATTTTCAGCTATCTACATGAAGTGGTATGCTATTATAAAGTCTCATAAAAGATTACATGGATTCTCCGTAAACTACCACCTTTGATTAAAAAAAAAAAAAAAAAAAAAAAACCCAAACCCAGCAAAAAGAAAAAAACAATTCCAATTCCAATGCTGAAATACATTACCATATTTTCAAGCATTTCTGAAACCCTAGCAAAACAGGCACACTGCTAAATTTTCTTCAAGGTAAAGCCAGGTAAAAGAGCACCCACTTGCAGCTATCATGTGGGCAAATATGACCTATTTCTAATGGAAAAACAGATTAAAGTTAATAACTGCTAACAACACAAATGACTGCACTGGATAGACTTAAGTCTAAAAAATCTTTAGCATAACCCTGAAGTAAACTTTATAGGACAGGGGATTTATTTCATTCAGGTTTAGTAATTTTTGCAGCTACAGAGTAGAGAAAGCATTGCTGATACACTGAAAATTGCAAATCAAGCATTTTCATTCACTACTTACTTCTTTCAGCAATTAATGGAACTTTCTTGACTATTGCTGTTAAAAGCTGCTGGACATTCTCCAAATATTCTATGCTGCAAGAAATAATAGGAATCATGATGAAAAATACTGCTGGAAAGTGATGAACCAGATGCACAAAGTTTCAATATCACTGCATGGTTTAAAAACACATATTGTAGTCCCTGGTCCCAAGGCTTTAGAGGAACACTAATGTTACTCCTACAATGTCCCAATTCTGAGAAAGTATTTTGCAGTGCCTTTTTTCCTTGCTTTGCTGTCCATCTCTGAAGCTACTTTCATCAAGCTGAAGAAATTGGCTTTAGCAGGCAGGCTTGAAAGGAATCCCTTCATCATCTCCCAGTTTGTAATACGATTCTGAGGAGATGAGAAGCCCCTTTTACTGCAGGTTGCCCCAGCATGAACGCTGTACACTGCAAGGCAAGCTTTGTATTTTCTTTTGCTTCTCATGATCCATTCATCTCTTATGACTTCTCTTGCTGGGAAAGACTATGCTAACTAGCTTATTTCATGGCGCTCAGCACATCTATAACATGAAAACATGTGCTAGCAGGAGTTTATTTAATTAGTCATTATGAGTAGAGCTGCGTTTTCCATCAGTTACGACTAAAAGGATTCCCAGTGTATACTGATTTGAGATTTATTCCTGTCTCCTACACATTCTCTCCAACAGGGAACTATCTATGGGGATGTGTCAGGATAATAGCACTTTCAAAACATGGAGACAGGAAAGTATGCCACTGGGAGAAACCAAGAGGAAAACAAAAATCTTACAGACTAAAAGAAATATTCAGAGAAAATTATTTTGTAAACTGAGTTCTGGTGAAAAGCCTCCAGAAACTTCTTAGAAGAGCATCACAAAGAAGTCACTGGACTTCACAGCATTCAGTAAACAGACAGACTGTTGGTACTTACTATGAGGCCTGACTTGGTTATGAAATAATCAAAGAAATCTATGAGCTTGGTAAGACTACAGAGCCAATAAGGCAAACAGTTCTCCTACTTACTCTTGATGTTTCTTTTTTAACCTCTATTTCATTGAGCAAAGTCAGACCCCTCTAAGAACGCAACAGGGACTATGCAAGCAGTGATAATCATGGATAATAACAAGGCTTTAGAAATTTAAGTTTTTAGCAATCACCAGAACAACTGAAAACCATAAAAAAACCTTTTTTTTTTCCTCCTTCAGCAGCCTTGAATGCAAATCCATTTACAAAGAAAATACTGCATCACTGAAATGAATGTTAGCCGAGAGAATTAGCAATGAAGAAACAGCATATGTAACCGAAGATTTTATAATGGAGCCAATACCACTGCATGCATTCTTAGAATCTCTTCCATTCTCCCTAGTACTCCAAAGATAAAAATTATCCAGAGAGAAACGAACAATTACTTGATAACGTAATTCCTAAGTTCTGAGCTCTCTTCTGTTTTTACTGCTGCTTGGTCTTCTTGGGTTCCCACAGAACTGCAGTTTGGTCATGCTGAATCAGGCTCCATCTTAACTTCAAAGAAACAGAATACATTTTAAAAGGCAAAAAGCATCAGTCAGGCAGACAAGTAATGTCTTGTGAGTGCGACTCCATTAAAACTAATGAAATTGTGGACACTACTGATCAGAGCTGCTCTGCTATGCACTACAGGCATAGAAAAAACATATGAAAGAAACCACACATTTCCAAGTCTGAGTAGTTTGCAGACTAAAACAAGTGCCTAGATGTACCCTCCTCAAACGTTAAGTAACACAGTCTCTTCTGTTTGCATTCTGCTTGCAAAATATGAATAAATGTGACCTTATAAAGAACACATCTCTTGACTATGCTGAAGGAAAGACCAGTACATGATTCTCCCTCCAGATCTCAAAATGCTCACACCTCATTCTTTTCAAAAGATTTGTACATACATAACAAATTGTTTTAACATTTTGCATACAACTGTCTGATCTAAACTGAACTACCTGCAAACGTACACTGGCATTTTGGTAAATTAAGAGCTAGCTGGAAAGCTATTGGTATTTTTAATGAAGAAGTGACATTTCCCCAAAATGAGAACCTTCTTTGAGGACATCCCTGGCTTGACATAAGTGCATTTTCTCACATCTAGGACAGAACTCTGGTAAGATGAGAGGAGAAGAGTTGTTCCAAACCCAAAATGGCCTGGCAGTCTGGTTGTTCATCTGGGATGGGAGACACACATGGCAGTTCAGCACACACTAGAGTTTCAGCTCTGGACTATGGATTATTCTAGGAAGTATCAATAAATGTGATTAAATATGTGCTGCCGTATGCATTTGCACAGAGATGGACTAAAATAATGAATGGTTTTACTACTCATAGGTGCTTTTCAGAAGATCCTCATTCTCTCTGTATTTAGGCTCTGTTGAAGGAGGAGTAACAGTTAACCTGCTGGCCTCCAGATCCCATTTCAATTCAATTTAAATCTTACTATCAATGAAAATAAAGGAACCACAGTCAGAGGGTCTACTTTTAGAGTCAGGCCGCCTGCACAAAGCAGGTTGTACAAAACCAGCATATTGCTATTTAACTTACTGAGAAATTCACTGTTACCTTTAGTGACAGAAGCTGCAGAGGGACTAGGGACAACTGCACTGGCTGTTGTGACAGCTGTGACAGCTGAAATTTTGCTAGTAGAAAACGACTGTATCACTAGAGAGGAATAGGAAAAAAAAGAGAGTAAAGAAAAAGAAATCAAACTCCAAACACTTTGACAAATAACCATGCTCAGAAGCAAACACAAAGTGCTTGCAATACAAAGTTGAGAGACAAATTCCCTTCCTAATTCTTCTTTTGTCTCTAAACCTTTGAACCGTGAAGGCCAACAGTGACCAAGAACTACTCTGGATCATAGGGAATTTTCAAAGACCACTTACAGGTCTTCTCAGGACTTTACCTTTGTTCACAGGCATGAGTATTGTCTGAACCCCTCCAGAAGCTGGGTTTACACTGAGCTGTTTAAGCTGACTGGGAACTGTCAAAAGAGCCTGCTGCTGTGGACTGGACTGATTTGAGTGAATTTTTAGCAAACCTGCAAGAGAAGCTGAGATGTTAAACAGAACATACTGTTTTATTTAAACAATCTGTAGGTATTTCTGCATGAAATAGGAGGGTATGTAAGCTACTCTCTTAACACACCCTCTTAACAAGCCCCAGTTTGGACTGAACTGTCAGACAATTTTTTATTGATATGAGTGGCTGTCAAAACCATATAGCATTATATGCTATATGTTATACTCTATGCTCTGTTATTTCTGAGACAAGATTTCTAATCACCTTAGTAATCTTAAGCATCTTAAAAATGTTAAATGGTGAAGCTCCCTTAGGGCACAGGATCAGTGTCCAGCAAGATATTAAAAGCCTCTGGCTTGGAAGTCTCTCTCTGTAATAGCTGACCACACTTAGATAAAGTGCATTGTTTAAGTGATGCTGTGGGGACTGTCCCAAGTGTGTGATAGGCAGATGTGTTAGCACAGCACAACATGGCACCAAAACAGCAAGGCAAGTAGGCAGGGACATTTTCAACTATCCCTATTAGTCTGATGGGTGGGAGACATTACTTATCACAAAGGAATGGGGAAAAAAAATGAGATTCTATTGGAAAGATGCCTTTAAAAATTCACACCCGGAGAATTTTAACACAGTATTTTTTCTGACCTTGAAATTCTTAAGCTGAAAGCCATCTCAAATAGCATATTTCCCACTAAAAATCTTGCTGCTTCATTTCTGAGGGGGATAATATACAATTGCTTATTGTAGAATTGTGGCAGTTTTAATAGCCTTTGTCATATGCTTCCCAGCTCTGCGAAGCACAAATTCATGAAAATAAGGCAAGTTTTAGAGAGGCAGAAGGCAGAAGAGCTGCTCTAAATGACACTGTCAGGTAGGCTGTGTCACTTGTTCCCTCCTGTATGTGTGTGCCTTGTTTCCACTTAGTAAGGAGCCACTTCAAATGACCTGAACATGTCAACAGGTAAATTAAAAATCCAAACGAAGATTTCTTTTTTTGACCCATGCTACTCAAACTAAATTAGCTCTTTTTGCTAATTTTATGACCTTATAATTATGGTTATGACTTTATACCATTCAATTCCCCCTAATTGGTGCTTCTCTCCTTTCCAAACCCAATAGAGAAGATGCAAAGTCTCAGGGCCAAGCTCTCCTCATGCAATTTCTCTATCTTCAGTGTAGTTTTACTTCTTCAAATAGAATTAAGCCTGTGGTGTCTTTGAAATTTTGTTACTATCAGTGCTCAGTGATAAACTGTGCTCTTGAACAAGTAGGAAGCAGCATTTAATGAGAACTTGCCATGAAAGCTACAACTCCTCTTAAATACCAGTGGACAAATCACACTGTTATTCGTATTGGAGTAAATATACTGATGTGATGCCAAGCACATTGCTTTGGTTATGCCAGATGCTATCCTAATTTGGTATTATAGAAAGCATGATTTCACTTCCACACATTCACAAATGCAGGTGACCCCAAATACTTCTTTTTACAGTGGAAGGTACAAAGAACTTACACGCGAATCTAACTGTCTAAAAGAAGGTCATGGAGAGTTCAGTACCTGATACGGCAGCTTTTCCAGTCACAGGCGTTGGTGTAGTCATCAGAGAAGCAACACTTACAACAGTAGAGGTAGCAGTCTTACTCACTACCGATGAAGTAGACTGGCCCTGGCTGATACAGATTTGGTGTTGCTGTCCAGGCGTCTTTGCTGTAGGACCCCCAGAAGTTGATGAACTGGCACCTGCATTATCTATTTGCTGCATAAAGAGAGCATTATGAAAATCCTATTCATTTCAAATGTGATTTAGCAATAGGCTCAAAGGAGGATTATCTGGAAGTACTAAACCAAATGACTACTGATCTGTCATTAAGAAGCAAGAGTTCTTTAGCATATATGCAAAAGCCAATACACAATGATGGTATGTACAGAATGAAGAATGTGTTGAGCAGAAATCAAATGAAACCATGAACATAGGAACTGCTACCACAACTGCTTTGATAGTATCAGGAGCCAGATCCCTTAAGTTCAGCAAGCAGGTAAGCCTCCAGATGAGAAATTTGGCCCAGCAATGTTTCGTATTTCCCTGCTGCTCAGAGCTCTACAGAGATCAGAGCAGAATTGGAGCAAAGCTGTTAACGGAGGTGTCTCCACTGCCTCAGCCAACAGATCATGTTTTGTTATGGCACTATGTAGGCCTTAATTCCAAAACATATTTCTTTCATACAGAGACTGCAGCACTTCTGTCATTGCAGAAACTCAACCTGCATGGTTTCCTTACAGGGAGGGTGACAGAGCACTGGAACAGGCTGCCCAGAGAGGTTGTGGAGTCTCCTTCTCTGGAGATCTTCAAAACCTGCTTGGACGCCACCCTGTTCCACATGCTCTAGGTGACCCTGTGTGTGCAGGGGGGTTGGACTAGATGACCTCTAGAGGTCCCTTAAGGATTTTATAATTCTATGGCTGGTGCTTTGGTTAGACAGATGTGAAACATTTTCAAATCTGTTCATAAGAACTGAAGAAGCTCTTTAGTATTCATCAACTCAGACCTCAGGTAGATCTTTCTGTCCCAGCTGCTATGTGCCCTCGGTAGGCCAAGACAGAGACAATTAGATGGCACTAACTATCATTAGGAAGCCTGGCAGATGAAATGTTAGAGATAAAGAGACCAGATAGAATATCTAAGCCTCTGCAGCTCTCCAGTGGGAGCTGTAAAAACAGTAAGTAGCTTTTAATGCAAATTCCAGTACCTTCACCTATATATGCTCTACAGTGCCAGAGTTGAGCCCTCTTCGAGGGCAGCATGGCCTCACACTTCACTTGTTTAACCTCTGCCTCCCCACACACTACAGTGGCAAGGCCAGCAGCAATCCTGAACTTTTTTTTCCCTTTATGGTGCTTCCTCTACAGCCCCTGAGCTGGAGTTCAGGGTGGGTGTCAGTGTGGGTGTCAACACAGACAACCTGTATCAAGTTCCTCGACATATCAACTCACCAAGAATTGACTCTGGGCACACAACTACTTTATTTACAAACTCACTCTCTGAGGAACTAACTAAGCAAGGCTGTGCTACAATTCCTTTGGGATAAACAGAAGCAACATGCTTTGAGCAAAGTTATATTGGAAGGATCACAACCCTTGTGCACTACTGGCTTCTCTTACCAACTCATAGCAGATTCAGGAATAAGCAATGCGAAGTGTCAGTGATCTTGGATGAACAACCTTCAGTCTAGCTGGCTTTCACTGGCCTAGTGGATATACTCATGCCTACTGGATATATGCATGCACTGGAAATACAAAGCTGACCAGCCAAGAGGACTGACCATAGAAGAATATGAACGGAGAAAAAAAAGTAGTAAAAGACCTTTGCTGGGGATTATACTAGTCAGAAACTAAAACAAAACTTCTGGCTTATGTACTTGTGAAAGCAAAGACCTGCACGCAAATGTTTTACTTCTGAGACCATACACAGACTGGTTTTCTTCTGTAGAGGTCCTGAAGGACCTCAGTAGGAAGAGTCCAAATGCAAAGTGATACCCTATGATACAGAAGCTGGAAGAACTCAAGAATGAGGAAAGCTGTTTAGAGAGACACTTGAAGACAGCTTGCACATGCCGTGGGGTTTCCAGGGCTTTTGGCTTTGACCTCGAAGTTCCGATCACAATATATTGGTAATGTTGTTTCTCACCTGGGCCACCCCATTTGTGGGAAGGGCCATGGCAGAAGTGGCAGCTGTGGTGATAACGCCTCCTGATACTCTCAGCACAGTGGTGCCAGGCTTGGAAAGCTGGGATGAGGTAGGCACTGATTTTATAGAGCCATCTGATAGTTTCACCAATGATGTCTGTCCACTGGGTGCAGCCTTTGAAATGGAATTCAGCGTAAGGTGAAAGGTTGAAATACTATATTCGTTGTTACTTTTTTTAAGAGACAAGTGGTTTTTGTATTAATAAAATACAAAATACTTTTAATAGATTTATCTTCTTCCCTGCGAAGAAGGCATTTTGTGACAATAATAGCTGGAACACAAAATGATTACCTCAATTTCATCAATTCGGAATGTCAGCTTCAAGAAATACACCTACAAGTTTTGGATGGTCAACTTCAGACACTCCAAGAGAGTTTTAATTCATAGAGACCTCTCAGTGCTTTTTAAAACAAGGGCCTCTGGGGAATCTCAAGATGGTCAGGGCCAAGAACTTCGGAGTGTTAGCAGGTGCCCCATTTTTAAGGTTGAAATATTTAACAACCATACTTGATTGTGTTCGTTTCTTTAATTATATATCCTTAAGAAAACTTTAAGCCCATTTACAAACTACAATCCCAAGCTTATGTTCGACCCACTCTGAGATCGTGAATAAAGCTGGAAAGCTGTAGTATACTATCTGCTATAAAATTAGGCCTTCACATACTCTCCTTACACAGTGCAGGGGGTTGGATAATTATACAAAAAAAACCAAAAAACAAAAAACAAAAAAACAACCAAACAAGAACACACACACAAGGAAAACCTTTCATAATGTGTGGCTGTGTTTCCTGTATTTTACTTGACAAAACAATACTGAGTGATAAGAAAGAAGCATATCATTTGCAAATACCTGTGTAAATAAAGCTGTTTTCTGTCCAGTTATCACTTTTAATGCTTGTTGTCCTTGTGTAGATGATGACCCAACTCCTACGCTGCTCTGAACAACTGATGCTGGTGTCAGCTGCTTCCCAGAACTCTGAGGAGAAGGCTGACCAACCAGAAAAGTGCCCTGATCCAGAAATAAGAGAGAGAGTACCGTGAAATATAAGTGTCAATACAGAACATAAATCTGTAGCTGTAATGTAAAAGCAACAGTGGATGGTTCTACACCCACAGCCACGCACAGCCATCTCTCTTCTTAGTGCAAAAACCACACTTACTGATGCAAGGAAGGTGTGAGAAAGCCACAGGTAGTTCCAGCCTCTTCAGAGTCATCCACTACAATTGAACACACTCAAGGTTCTTCGAGTTTATTCACTGAGACAAATGCTACTTACCTTCTAAGACCAGAGAGGCTACTGCTGGGCTATGCGAAAAGGATAAAAGGCATCAAAATACCCTAGTTTTAAAACATGATCAGTCCTCCTAGAGATCCACGTATTCAGAGCTCAGCACATGACTATCAGATCCACAACCTAAGGCCTGCATCTACCAGCTGAGGCCTTGAAAGCCTTCCTGTTTCACATCATTATTTAACTTCTGCCCTCAGAGGCTTTGGTCACTCTGTCTCACATGAATCCCTTCTTATAACCTTCCATTTTCTAGTCCACCTTCCTTGCTCCATCTTGCAGTTTCTCTCTACTGGCTCTTTTTTCCCTATCACTAGTGTTTTCTTCAAGCTCTCACACATCCATCTGTGTTAGACAGCTCTTCCAATATCATTTCTGTTATAGGACTCCCCTGCAGTCCTGTGCTCTTATTACCTCCTGTCTCCTCCCCAACCACTGCTTGCTCTGGTATTACTCAATGCTGCTTTTTTAGCCTAAAAAGATCTGTTAGGGGCACCTTATACCTTGCTATGGGAGGTAAAGACAGAGATGTGCAGATAGAAAGTAGCAAACCAGAAGCCTGGCAAAGTGGAGAAGGAAGGCTTGTTAAAGAGAATCCACAGATCCACAGTCTAAGAAGGTTTCTCCCAGTACAGAAACGCACATCATCAGCTGCAACATGAAATGTCACTCTGCTTCAGTTCAGATGCCTATGCCACTGACCTGTGGTGTCTGCTTCAGGATGTAGGATGTATAGGTGAGATGCTGTGACAAGTTACTGCTTGTGCTTTGGGTCCCTCCTCCTCCTGTTCCTCCACTATTAGTAGAACCACCAGACTGGAGACCTGTAAGCAGGATAAAAGGCAGCTTGAGCCTTTAGTAACCAGACGCTGTCAGTTGCTCAAGCTTCCCTGTATATACAAGTAATTGAAACTACCTTGCAAGATACTTGTTGCTACATGTTCCAGAATTCAGCAACATAAATAGCATAAATACAACAATTCTCCAATACAGTACAGTTGCTGTACTGCTGTCCTCTCCTGTAGCTCAGCAAATGGATACTAAAGGGTGATAATTTGCAGCAACGGTTTGATCTTGCTCTGCCTCCAGAAGGAACGTTCTGGAGGCAGACTATTTTGCAATCTCTCATTAAGAAACAAACCTGTAAATATTTTTGATCCTTAACAGGAGACTCATGAACATTTATTAAGCTACATAATAGCTCTTCCCCTACTGGCAGCAAGCAGTGTGGTACCCAGTCCATCCTTCACACTAACCCCCAACCTCAAAATGAGCATTTTGGAGAAGGCTCATAACAAAACACTTCCTCTACACAGGCCAAAACCTGAGATAGCACTCCATGAGCAAAGTATTGTCCACTAGAACCCCTTCTGCAAGCTAATTTCCAGGTTTGTTTCAGTAGGTTTGATTCAAAGTCCATTAACAACCACAAAAAATAGCATTCCTGCTTTTCCAAACAGCCTGGGGTCAAGCCTTCTATCAGTATTCAAAACTATTTATTTCTCCCATTTCAGATACAAGATCTTGTCCTTTTCAAAGTTAGTTTCTTATGTTTCTAGTTTCTCCAAGGTCTTGTTCTATTACTTATTAATAGCTTTTGCAACTGCACTCAAACGGATCTCATTGCTACATCAGGAATACGAAGCTCTCCTTTCTTAGAGATCACGATGAAGAGTTAACCAGAATCCTTAGCTGCAAAATTTCAGAACAGCTTCAGCGTCTGCTTTGGGCAGACACGAAGAGATTGAGAACACCGCATGAAAAGCAGTTTCATGCATAGTGGAGACACTTATGAGATTTCGGTCTTAAAAGTAACACATACTGTTTTTGCTGTGAACAAAGGAATCTCATCCTTTGGACACTTAATAGTAAAAGGGACAAGCACTTTAAACATGAAGTTTGCTGTGAACAAAGGAATCTCATCCTGATGAGATTCCATTATTTAATCATTAATCATAATCATTATTTAATCATGATTGCATTATTTAACTCATTAAATTTCCCTGCAAGACTAACTAGCACTATTTGTGGCTCGCAGTATGGCTCCTTGGGGTATCAGAAGCAGTTTTCCTTTCCCAGAAGGATTCTTGCTGTTGGTGGTGAGGTAAAGTTTGGTGCCTGGTGGTAAGTTTGCCAAGTTTGCCAGGTTGGTGGCTGGTAATTGCAGTGTAGCCATCACTAGGAAGAGAGAATAAGAATTAAGTTAGCAAAAGTATAAGATCTGGCTCTGGCCAAGCTTCTCTCTGCCCCAGGATGCCCAGGAACCCAGCAGCCCATGAATCTGCAGGCCAACTTCAGGTTTGATAAAGCTGTGCACTCTATCATAGACCACGGCCTGCTTTAAAATACCCGTGCCCTCTCTTCCCTCTTAAAGATAATTAATAACATTTCCTTTATTACCATGCTAGTTAAAATCTCCCTCTGGACTTCTATATTCATTTTCTTTGAAAAAATTCTAGCCCAAAGAGATGTCTTTGGAGCTGAAGGAATCATTATAATGCACCGGAATCTCCCAATATGACCCTTTTCCAAGGTTTACTTTACCTGAGCCTTGAGATGTGCTTTTCTGAGCACCTGCTGAAGCGACCTGTGCCTTCGTTATAGTCTGCACAGGCTGGGCAACAATCGTCCCTCCACCTCCACTCACAATGGCTTTGGCTACACCTTGAGTCACTACCTGCTTTGGACCAACTGCTTTTGCTACTGAAGAGCTAGATTTTGCCACGAGTATCTGGCCACCACTGATGGCCACCGCTTGCTTCACTGTTGACTGTAAAGCAGAACCAACTGGGACACCAACCACCTGCAACAAACAAGGATCAGATGATGGGCTCTGGCAAGAGAAATCACTGGAGTCTATTTGGTTCACTACCTCCACCATTAAACATTTTAGGCCATTTTATACATATCTGTTCATATATAAAGGCTATTCATAGAATCCTAGAATCTTTAAGGACTATGGCACAGGACTATGTCCAAGTGGGCTCTGAAGATCTCCAGAGAAGGAGACTCCACAGCCTCTCTGGGCAGCCTGTTCCAGTGCTCTGTCACCCTCACTGTCAAGAAATTGCTCCTCAAGTTCCTGGGGAACTTCCAGTGTTTCAGTTTGTGGCCCTTTCCTCTTGTCCTATTGCTAGTCACCACTGAAAAGAGGCCAGCACCATCCTCCCTCACTGCCTCCCTTGTGGTACTTACAGACACTGCTCAGGTCCCCTCTCAGCCTTCTCTTCTCCAGGCTGAACAGGCCCAGCTCCCTCAGCCTCTCCTCATAGGGCAGATGTTCCAGACTCCTGATCATCCTTGTGGCCCTGCACTGGACTCTCTCTCTAGCAGCTCCACATCCCTCTTGTATTGTAGAGCCCAGAACTGGACACAATACTCTAGATGCGGCCTCACTAGGGCTGAGTAGAGGGGTAGGATCACCTCCCTCGAGCTTTTTGAGACGCTCTTCTTAATGCATCCCAGGATCTCATTGGCCTTCTTGGCCACAAGGGCACACTGCTGCCTCATGATAAACTTCTTGTCCACCATGACACCCAGGTCCTTAATTCTTTATTTTTCCTGTTCTTTTGTTGTTGTTGTTGTTGCAGTCCTGTTGACTATGGAAATAATTTGTTTTTTCTTATACAAAGACCTGGGTGGATTTACGTAATGGTCATGATGGCAGCCAACTTCTTGGGGTCATTAGGATGCAGCTGAAAAACATCCCCACCTCACTGCCACTATGGGTTACAGAAGAGCAGGAGGTGCTCTCTGTAAACAGTGGGGTGCGATGGTGTCTGCCTGTCTTGCTTGCCTCACAAGCATTAAAAATGAGCCTGATGTGAGGCACAAGCGCACTCTGTGCTCATGGGGAAACCAGCCACCCAAGGTACTACTGCCTGTGTCCTGTAGGGAGCCGTGTTTGGGACAGAAGCAACCCTACAGCCCTGGGAGAAACACAAGGCACTGTGAAGAACAGCTCACACCAACGCAAAGACCCGCAAATACCTCATACCTTAGACTGCACTGTCCCCTCTCCTGCGCTCACGATTGGCTTCTGTGGTGACAAGGCTAACATGTGGCTTCCTTTCACAGTGACATACTGCTGCACGGAGTTCTGAGTGGTTGTCCCCGTTGCTGGCTGCTGGGGTTGCTGGGGCAATTCTCCCGGTTCCTGTTTTATTATCACCTTTTAAATAAAGGCATATAAACAACAAAACAACTAAATCACTGGGAATCAGCTCTGCTAAAGCCTGTCTGCAAGAAGGGGCATGCAAAGTAACTCACAGGTGGCTCATACACAGCCAGGTGAACTCTCCAACCTACCTCCCGAGTGTAAGGTGGGGGCTACTCCTGACACACACATGTATGATGTGAGTCTGTATTTATAAAATATTCCAAATATAAAAAAGGCTGATAGAAATTGTTAGCAATGCTGCAATGGACTTGGCCATACATGACTCAGACCTTCCAGAATGGGAGGTTTCGAATTTCTAAACACCTTCCCTGTTCAGAGCATGCTCTAAAGCGTTTTTTTTTTTTTTATCCTGTAAAATCATAACCGATGTTACAGATATTGTAACTGATTATAGCCAATATTATTCTATCATGTTTAGCTAAAAATAGTTACATTGCTAAAACTGGCAGCTTAAAATAGGCTGATTTTTGTGTTAGATTGCTGCGAGTAACATACGTGATAGGAGGTATTCTTTCAGGTTACTCTTGGATCACCTAATATTACCAGAAAAAAAATAAATAAATTCAGGGTGGCAATATTTAAGGAAACGTACTTGCAAACGGCAACACCTAACATTCAGAAATCACTACAGCATTTTGTGTAAAAATGAGCTGATGAGCTTACTTTTACTGCATCCATCCTGCATGCATCTTAGCATGCAAAGCTCACAAATAGCTTTGAAAATATTAGCTTTATATGCAGTACTTTAAAGAAAGCAAGAAAGGATGAAAAAGAAGTCAAAAAAAAAAAAAAGCCATCACGGTAAGAGCCCTGAGAGGTTACAGAGACACACTTCCTCCTGACTCCAGCAACATTTTTTCCAGGCACTTGGAAGCCTGGATGCTTTGTGTCAAGTATTGGCACTGAATGGCACTACTGGGCTTTTTATTTCTGCACAAAAGCCAGAAGAAATACCTTTGTAAAAGCTCCAAGGCCTCCTGTCACGGATTTAGGGCTTTGCACCTTGGAATGACTTCCAATGGGACAAAGGGGTGGCATGGTGGCAAACAGAGAATCCTCCTGCTGCACAAAGACAGACACGGCACAACAATCAATGACATATGCAATAAAAGAAATAAAGCAAAAGACTCCTAGTGAAGGTAGCATGGATAATCTGGGCAAACCCAAACCACCTGTGCAGATAAGCCATGTCCAAAATCAGTCAACACTTAAATAAAAGGAATGTTACACATTTAGTACAAACCTTCAAAGCAATTTTTATTCGACAAGTTACATCTCCAAGTCTTTCTTACCACATCATAAACAAGTGAAAGAAATCAACTTAAGCTCCTTCACCAGATTTTATATATAGCATTTCAGAGCTGCATAATTAAAGTAGGCAAATACTTTACATCCTTTGCCTTGAGGAGAGAAGGCTCAGGAAGTTTCTTATCAAAATGCATAGATACCTGACAGGAGGGTGGTAAAGAAGATGGAGCCAGACACTTCTCAGTGGTATCCATTTAAAGGACAAGAGGAAATGGACACAAACAGAAATAAAAGAAACTGTTTAAACATAAGAAAATCTCTTTTACTGTAGCAGTGATGGAGGACTGGAACAGGCTGCCTAGAGGTGTTTTGGAACCTCCATCCTTGCAAACATTCAAACCCCAAATAGACATGATCCTGAGCAAGCTGCTCTAGTTGAACTAGAGGGTGAACTAGACGATCTCCAGAGGTCCCCTCCAACCTTAGCCATTCTATGACGCTATACACAACCCAAGATACAGAAGAACCACCATAAAGTTGAGGAGGCAAAATCGTTCGATTGAAATCTGCAAGCAAACTCATCTAATGATTTTCCTTCTCTCCTGTGAGCAGCACACACACCTGGCAGCACGCAGACTTCCCAAGCAGAACCGGCAGGATAACTAAGTGCAATAAACACACTTCCACACCTGAAAAACTGTGAATTTTTCATTCTTAGATTTTACGCTGGTAGGGAAGCCAAATGCATTTCAGGATGTTTATGCTTTAACATTATGATTATGCTTTAATTAAAATAATTGCATTATTTTACAATGAGCATGAACTCTGAGGCTACAGTTTCACAATGCCTTTGCTCCAAGGACAGACCACAACCAAAAAAACCTGAACTCCAAACTCCTGACATCTTCCTTGTGCAGACACACGTGACTGAAAACAGGTCAGAGAATTACCTGCTCTGGTTCACCAAATACCTACACATCTACTAGCAAAGAGAAAGCGGTGTGACAACAAGCTAGAGGCGTAATGAGTCCTTTCAACAGCAGCATGCACTTAGGTCATTTTAAAGTGACTAAGAAAACATATCCTTAAATCATGAAGAATACAGAGAAAACTAGAAAACATCTCAGGAGGTAAAATAGTAGTGAATTAACCACAGACTGTAACATCAGCCAGCTATAAGATACTCCCTCCCTCTTAAAGAAATCTTGAAAAGTACAAGTTCTCTACCAAACTTATGTAAACAGAATATTACGTGAACGTGGCAGAGTTGTGAATTTTAAAATACATCCTCAGATTTCACCTGGCTTTGTCCTAGAGATACAGAGCTCAATCAAATCTAGTCGTATGTGCCTACTTTGACTCATTTAAAACCTTACAGAATGGTCTCAAACGAGAGAAAAATATGGATTAAGAACGCTTTAAAATTGTCAAATGAAATCCATCTGAGCACAGAAACTCTTAAAAAAATGGAACAGTTAGTTGCACATCTACTATTTAAAATGCCACTCCAAACTAACTGTTCAGATAGTGATCTTCTGTATGTCTTTCCTAACCATCCTGGGAAGCATTTGAGCTCCAGATATAACGGCATTCTGCAGGCTGCCTGGCAAACCCCCTCCAGCATCTACACTCTTCTGACTTGGGTTAGGGAAATGCCCCTGTTTCAGGAGCAGCATATCCACCAGTTTCTTTTTGCTGATGCCACTTCCCTGCCAGAAATGTCTTCTCTTGGGCCCGACATGGAAGACAGTTTATCTGGCATAGTTCAGTTCCATGCTTTTGGGGCTTTGTAGATGACAAGCACGAACCCTCTTCATCACTGTTTATGCATTCAGTTACTCCACTGTTTACATGAATATATTCCTAAGTTCAGACAGCTGTAAAGTCACTAAAAACCCATTTTCAATTTAGGAACAGTTATTGTGCAAAAATAATGAACACAGTGGAGGCTCTGAGGTAGGCACTTCTAGTGTAATCACATGCTGACATCAATGAAGTGAAGATCAGTCATTTATGGAACAGCCCCTTTGAAAGAAGGGACATTTTGAGAGCTGTGCCCTCTATGGATTTCCTCACAGTAAAGCAAAAGAATGGTGCCTTAACAGAGGTACAGACAAATCTAAATACAGCTGCATAAACTGACACTATCATCTTGCATAATCACCTTATTCTCATAGGACTACAGCTGCTAGACAGGGTAAATCTTCATATGAAAGAGCAAGAAATTGCCTGAGAGGCAGAATTTATCATACTAAAAAAATCTACTCCACAGAGAGCTGGGTTTTGAATGGAAAGTACATATCTAACAAGAACATTACCTTGACAGCTGAGGTTACAAAACTGCTTCCATGGGTCTTTGATACAGGAGATCCAGTTCCATGTGAGGCCTGACAAACGTTTGTCAGTTTGCTGGTTGGGCTCCCTGCATGTTGGGAAATAAAGCAGATCTGAAGTGAGGGCCACAGAGCAGTGCCACACATGCAGCTTCTTCTAACAAGGAAGATGGTGTTTCACTTCAGGTTTAAAATCGATCTCCATGAGGAACACAAAATGAGGTACATCACTGGGAGTTGGGATGGGCACAAACCAAATTAATTTTCCTTACGAATCTTTAAAAAAAATTCCAAAATACTAATGTCCCCAAGAAATTGAAACAATTATAAAAATAAGGGAAGATTAGGTCTTTGTCTCTATCACCTTCATGACATTAGAAAGGAGGCAATTCTAAAATATTTGAGCAATTTCCTGGTTATTATTCTAGCTAGACCCAAAAGCCATCATAGCTCAGCAGCACCCAGAAGGGCAGCGACAGCCACTACCAAATTTTCCTGTGCAATATCCACACCTCAGTGAGCTCACATTCCACTTGGAGCTCTGGTCCTTGAAAAACAGTCCAGACACCTGCTGGACAACTGAAGATATTAGCTACAGATGTGAATATGTGAGGTTAAATGAGCAGAATTTGCTGCTACAAATGTAATTCCTTCCGCTGCCCAGAGGCCCTCTGAACCTACACTACTCAGTCACTGGCATCTGGAAGGGTCAGAGGAAGCTGGAAGAAATGGGAGGAGAAACGAATGCCAGAAAAGGAGGGATGCACTGTGAGGAGTAACAAGACAGAGTGAGGCAGGGAAAGAAGAAGAAACAGAAACGAGGGATGAAGCCACAGGTCCCTGTGTCTGCAGATGACCGCTCCAGGAAGAAGAACATACGGAGATGTTCACCACAGCACCCAACCATGATCACCTGAGCAGGATGCGGGTTCTGGAGTGGAAGGTCAGGGGTCAACTTACCCTTGCATTATCAGAGCATGTATACAACACATTGCTGCTCAGCAGCAGTTTTGTTACTGCTGGTGGTTTGGTTTTGTTTGTTCTGTTTGTTAAGAGACACAAAAGCTGTGGATTATGCACATGAAAACAGAATAACAGTCTCTTGGGTAGACATACCATAATCCCTACTGAAATTTAAAAGTAAACTATGAAGCCCTTTCTAGAAATAAGTGGGTTTGTGAAGATTGGCTTTTACAAAGCGCATTAAGTTTCATATCTTATCCTTCTTTTTAAATACGATTTTCAGGCTTATCAATAATGTCCCTGTCACTTTGGCTGTTATGTCACACTACACTCCACTCCAGGCTGCTGTTGACAGAAAGGGTCTGATCCACATGCCCTCTCCGTCCCTCACGCAGGGCCTGGCGAGGAGGCTATCTGATAATAAAACCCACTTTGGGGTGGAGGATGGTTTTCCACTCTGCCACTGAGCTGATCTAACTCATGTGGGGTATAGAAGTGAAGCAGCAGGAAATCAAGAAAGCAAGTGGGAGTAGACAGTGCTTTTTCAAGCCAGGCTGTACTTACATCATACTAATGCAGTGGGAAGCTGCATCTTTAGAGGCATTGAGACCTGTATGCCCAGCCCCGCTGGTTGGTGCCTGTACAAATCCTATCCTCCATGTACAAATCTCTACTAGAAGAAGAGGAAAGTTACCCAACCCATGATAAAGCATACGCAACTTCCAATGCAGATTCCAGTCAGGCTGGAGGTGTGGAAGAACTGAACACCAAAACTAGTGGCGAAACAGCTTCACCGTTAACAAGAAAGCACCAAAATGTATTTCAACTCTGTTTCTACTAGATTACCCCTAGCAATTCTCCTATGAAGTTAAAATTAAAAAAAAAAAAAAAAACAGCACAGTTGTTGATTCGCTCTTCCCCTTGGGCAAAAGCAGCAAGCACTGTTAAGTGAAGAATTTTCTCATTTTCCAATGGAGTCCGGAGAAGTGTTTGTGCCACCCGGACACTGCAGATTCCCACATGGCTTTGCCAACATCTTAGAATGATGCTCAAACACATACATGTGCAAGCAAGTGTGTTCTCAAGGTGACAGCAATTCTTGCCTACTGGATCACAAAAATAACAGCAGCAGCAGCAGCAACAAAAGATTTGCAAGCAGTCACCTTCACCTAAACCTGCACAAAGATTACGAGCCAGCTCCCACACCCATCACTCATTGCCTCCAGTTCAGCACTCCTCCCCTCCTCTTGATACCAGATCTATGCCACCTTTGAAGCACACTGGGAATTCAGCTGGAGGGATCCAAACCGCCCGGAATCAAACCAGCTAGAGGTTGACAGCAGTAACAAAAATTAACAATTTGTTTTCCTGGTAAGCCAGGTCTACTCAACCATTTCAGCACATCTACTGCACAGTACGCTGCAAGTCACTGCAAGCTCTACCTGCTTTCTGCCCATAGCCAAGATATTGCACCTTGTTACTGGCCAGTCATGCAAGCAGCAATACCTCTTCTGTGCACTTTTCCATCCTTACTCATTGAAGCACTATTAGTAGACTAGTAATTTTAAAGGGAAAATGAACTTTAATGGGGGAAAAACTAAGCTTTCTACGATCACACTACACACCTGTGCTCGTGGCTGCTGCTCCAACCATCTGTCCAGGCTTGTCCACAATAACATATGGATTATTAATGACTGAGCTAGCAGAGCCTTGCTTCATGTGCACCGGAGTGGAGGTTGGGGTACGAGGTAGCGGAGATGGACTAGGGGTCGATATTGGAGAACCTTAAGAAAAAAAACGCTTCTGTCTTGTAAATCTCATAAGAACATTAAAATAAAAAAACAGCAATATTTTTTAAAAATGACTTTGCGAAGGCACACTTTTTAGGATGCATTTCCCAGTTTGAGGCAGATCATAGGACTGGGAGAAAGAAGGAAGGGACAGAAGGAAAAGAGGAAGAATGCAAAGCATATAGCTCATACCTACCTGGGGCATTCTCTGTCTACCAAGACAAATGGCTCAAAGTAATGCTGAGAAGCCATCCAGTCCATCCTCTAATGCTGAAGTCGATGCTCATTACCTACATTATTATCCCTGCCAATTCCAGCCTGCCCAAGCAGATGAACGAAGGAAGATAAGCTCCCTAATGTGCACTTTCTTTCCCTTGTGGAGCCTACAGTGCACACGTTGAGAGCCAACCATGAAACGTTCACGTACGAAGGCTGTGAAACACAGCAGCTGAGAGGCAGGCCAAGCCACTCTGCTCTCTGTGTCTCTCGTGACAGCAGAAGCCCTTGAAAGCAACCACTGCACAGTGTGCAGCTTCTGGGCAAAAGGAAGAGAGGAGAGGAAAAGCTCCAGAGTGAAAGAGGACACAGCAAGTGCACACAAAAAGACAGGTTAGGAAGTGATCAGAAAGCGAGGTGGCAGCAGACACTAAACATCAGCTGGCTATTAATCTGCTTCCTGGGAGGCACTGACAGCTAGAGTAGAGGAGAAATGACAATCAGGGAAAACCCCGACGACTTATAAATTCTGGTTGAAATCAGAGGAGTGACACTTAGCAGACAGCAGATTCTTGAAAAACAGAACATTTGTCAGGGAGATATTTAAATAGCAGAGATCAACAGAGAATAGCCCAAGGATTAAGAAAGACAAGCTCTCCTGGAATTCTTGCTTTCTGGGAAGCTTTGGAAGAAGTAGCTCAGGACTAGAGATAGGGAGAAAGACAAAGCACTTGAGAGACGTTCAAATGTAAATTGCCAGTAGCTTGAATAAAGTTTTAAGATATCAAGAGAAAATCCAGAAAAAACGAAAAAACATGTTTAAAGAAAATAAAGTCAGAAGCAGATACTCAGAAATCACATGTACTGATAACTGGTGGTTCATTCTTTCCACCCTGAACACCAGAAAATGAAGGGATGTAACAAGTCATCCTTTCATATCCACAATAAATGACTTGGTGAGTTGCATCTGATGTAAAACATCCTCCAGTGGAGGGCTTCATGCCCAGGCAGACAAGGGAGTGTAAGTCAAGTTAGTAAACAGCATCCTGATCACAGTTTGGAACCTGGCAAGATATTTCCCATTGCTCACTGCAGTTATCTGATGATTTAATACAACAGAGAGCAGACTTTTGGAAGATGAAAACTGTTCGATCTAAAGACCTGATACTGCAAGCACAAGAGGGCCCATTTGAGTGTACGACCTTGAACGTAATTACTGCCCCATAATCAGGGGAAAAGGGAAGAAGCAATTCCTCTTAATTCAGCCCAGGTGCCTAAAAGCAGGGAAGGGAAGAATAGCTTCCTCCCACACTCAAATACCCATGTGGGAGAACAGTTCTTGCCTGAGCATTTGTGTGGGGGACAGTCCAGTTAAAGACTATCATTTGCATACTTAAAAGCACTGAAAACAGGGAACAGCTCCCATCCTGTATTTGATCTTGAACTGATAAGGCAAGCACTTCACCCCTGTATTTATTTTTCCTTTAATACTAGGATCACGTTTCGCTCCTTATTCTAGAATTTCCTGTTGCCTGATGTTCAAACATTGCCAGGAAAACAGGGGAAGGACCCAAAACAGGCTCAGCTGGTTCAATCTCTTGTTTTCCACCAGGGCGAAGCACTTAGATATGTAAACTAACGTTCACCTGATACAATCTTGCAACTCATGGTGATAGGCTGGAAGGATTTTCCTGGAGACTCAGCAGGGCTTGGAATCTGACCTTGAGGCACTATTTTGCAGCTAGCTGCAATGGGTTGAAAGGCTGAATTTCCTTGAGAGCCAAAGGCAACTTTCTGTGTGGCTAATTTGGTGGGAGTCCGTTCTATCGAAGATGGCAGAGAATAAAACGTGGCATGTCTTTCGGTTTCAGCATTCCCAGGGAATCCTGATTAAAACAGGGAAAAGAAGAAAAATAGTTCTTAAGCCGAGACATCTAATTCTTCTCTACACAAACAAAAATAAGGTACGATAAACACGCTCTCAAATCAAGGAAGGAAAAAGCAACTGGTGGGCAGAGTTGAATGGGAAGAAGGTGGGATAAGGAGCCCCTCCTGCCCAATTCTGTTGGGTTTGTCTCTGAACAGAAGAACTACGTGCACCATGCAGCCTGCCAAGCTTTGGTTGGCTACCAGCCACTTCTGACACATTTGTTCGGTAAGAACCTTCCACTGACCAAAAGCTGCTGGCAGTTTTGAGGGTCCACAGATAGCTTTCCACACAGCGAAGGCAGCGGTTCCTTCGCAGAGAACTTCTCACTGAATTTTTTTGAGTAGAAGCACAAGGAGGCCAACTACTGCCTTCTGAGCGGTGTTTAGGAATCCACCTTATTTAATGTAGAAGGAGATCAATCAATCCTGACCTGATGAGAAAAGCTGATGCCAGTTAGCACAAGAAAGGTACAGCTTTACCTCCTTTCTTTTTTGTAGCACTGTCAAGGTAAAGGTGCTGCATATCTTCACGCCTGAACATAAGCCTGTGCATTTATAACACACTTGCATTTCTCTTTTTTTTGGCTGTGCTGTTGACATAAGAACATACCACACTTAAGCTACAGACTTTCTTTTCTCATCATTGAACTGGGACGTTAGCGGCATTATATGATCTACCAAAAGATGCATCATGTAAGACATCAGTATTGCAGCCACTGCTTTACACAGGAGTGTCAAGATAGACCAAGAAGGGCATCAGGCCATTTTGCATGTGATCACATTTTGAAATCTGTTAAGTTCCTGGTTTTTGCTACTTGCCTGTGCGAAAATGTGAGACCTATAAGTGTCCCTTGTTTCTCAGTCCAGCTGAGTTCTGCTTTACAAGCATTGACACCATGCATTTGAGGAAAAAAAAAAGGTAAAATGAAAACGGGCACAGTTTTTCCTACTTCATGCAAACTAAAATGATAATACTGTGCTCAAGTGGCCAACACGTAGCTTGTTCCAGGCGATTCAAATGATTGCAAGGTATCAACTGCTGCCACACTGCAACGCACGCATGTGGCTGCTTAAGACAGGACTCAACTGCTGCCACACTGCAACGCACGCTAGGAAATCCAGACTAAGCATGTGGCTGCTTAAGACAGGAGATGAAAAAAAGCAGTTTTGCATCACAG